ATAAATTAACAAATTTACTTAGCCGGCAACAACACATACATATTATACAAATTTAACAACAATAAACATAAAAATATACACAACCACCCCCCAATTTCAGTTCATGATCATCTTCTTCAGCTATCATACTAATAAAAGTTCTCCCGTAAGATTTGTCATAGAGTCGTGTGATACTACCAAGAGGAAAGAAGCACCCCAGCATCAATGTTTCGTGGATTCGGGATAAATAAATATATCTAAGAAAACCCACACCTTCAGAGATGCCAAGAAGCCGCAAACAACAGAGCCTAGTTTTTTCTGACCCTACTGCAGCCGACACAATCCCCATTAGCTATCAGAGGCCGGAATTGAGGCTGATGTTTCGGACTAATGTTTATTTTGTATGTACATTGTGTAGTTTTAAGATACTGGTAAGTCATACTAAACTGATCAACATCTGCTGATGATTAATATTTTGATATTTTATTCCAAATGATAAATTCTTTTCTTGTCTGTTAAAAATGATCTCAACATCACTTTAATCACTTGGATTTTCGGAGAAAACGAAATTCGGGAAAAACCATTGACAGACATTCACGTGACGTTTTGTTGCTAATATAATTTTTTAGCATAGGATAACCTTTTACACAGTGAGTATTTGCTATATTACTTGTATTAGGTTAATGACTAATTAATAGACTTAATTAATTAATTAGGATCAGGAAATGAAGTGGATTTTTAGACCAATCGTTTCTGTTACTTATTGACCTAATGAATTTGTAGCCGGAAATGGATGAGGATGACTTTTTTCTGAATCTTATTGGGCTAATGAAGATGAGTGCGCAGTGAGGGAAATTCTACCAAGACAAAAGCATAAGCCTACTCGTTTTCTACAGTCGTGTGGTTTTTAACGTTTTATCCCGCATCACGTGCTGTGCTCGCTCATTGTTCTAGACGAATCTTCTTTGACAACTTCTCTGGAAACATTGCATTGCCGAGATTATTTATATTATTAGTTATTAAATGAATATACGAATATAGCTTCTTATATAATCAATTCACTCATACATGCATAGTGGAATACTTTCTCATATTGATTGTAAAGCACAATAGATTTTTACATTTTAACATTAACGGTCTGCAGTATACCAAAAACCGTTATATAGAAACAACGTTGTATACTTTGCAAGTGTTCATGCACTCTGCAGAGCCTATAATTCTACAATGGACAATCGTTTTGACCCTTTTCATCTAAAGGTATTTGAAAATACCTGTCCTCAAATAGGTAAAATGAAGACTGGCAAACCCACTCGATTTCACACTTTCACATGATCTTTTTGCATAAAAATTTCACTTAAAATCGTTAGTTTAATGCTCTATAAACCTTAGCGTGTAACCGTGTGTGTGAAGACAAAATGCAGTATAAGTTATTTTGTTTAATAGATTTGAATACGCAGGTAGTGTAGAGCGTAAAAACAATTAGATTGACTACTGTGTGTCATATGCCCATTACCCTATGATAGAAATCCCAACTGTAAACCCCCACGCTTCGCTCTCCTCATACAACCGGATACAACAGATTAAATTCCTTTCAATGGGTCATTAAACATATGATATATAATACGCGTGTTTACACTATAGTGATATTGTGCATCTTCTTGTCATTTAAATGAGGTTGAATAAATACTGACTATCAGAAATTCTACGATATTTGATCAAAGAAACTTAAAAAATTTTCTGTGAGTTTCATAAATTAATTTATAATTATTATAATTATAATTAACATATTTTTCCAGTAAAATTAAATGAATTAAATCATTACAGGTCCGATATGGCTTCTTTAAAAAGTTGGCGAATTTAAGCAAAGGACAAAAAAAATTGCTATACTTTTATCGGTGAGGTCCAACAACTGATTACCGTAGAGAGACATACAAAAAAGTATTGAAAAGGCAATATTCGGGTACTTGAAAAGTAATAATGAATTTGGTAATAAACGCATCAATACATTCATTCGTTTGTGACTAAGTGTATGACGATACAATTTGTATACCCATACCATTAAGTATAATATAAATTATTTCCTGTTGAACAATACAAGTTTTCCTTTAACCGGGATTGAAATCAATCTGGTATTCTTTTGAATATGTATCATCTTTAGCAATACAATGAGCGAATGTTTTGAAGGAGCGGCAAGAGTGATATCGTCAGTTATAAGCAATAGCTTCTACATAAAAATGACTTATATTACAGCCAAAATTACTGCTCTTTATTTCTAAGTCATCTACATTTATGTATATACACAACATTACACAACATTCACAACAATAGTAGCAGTTATATTTATATTGAGCTTCCAGACTATGGGAATATGATGGGCTGGTAGCCTACACCTGCGTGACACGGGGAATTCCAATTTCGTTTAGGTCGCGTTTTGAAAAAAAATATTGATGCCACTATTTTGGAAATTAGTTAAAATTGTTGTGACAAATCCATTTCGTCCATTGATTTCCTTGTGTATCTTAAGATTGTCAATTTTATTTCAGTTCTATGATGCATCACACTGTCTCTCTTCTCATACATGTAATTTGTTTAACAGTTGCTAAATCAGGTATTTTAATTTTTTATTTTCATATTGTCCCGATTTCGATATTCTAACGACACGGAAGCCGAATAGAGGTGTAGGCCCGCTAGGTAATTAAGGTCTTAAATTGATGTATAGCATTTTGTAACGATTTTTGAGCCTTCAAATCCATGTGTGTCCAGAATTATCCGTGTTTGATAGTTAAAATGACGAATCCGCTACATATAAAAATAGAAATACAAAGTGAAATTCCTAGGGTTTTTTAGGTATTTCTACGGGAACTATTTTCTTACATTTCTAGTACTTCTGAAGACTATATATACATGACACAACCACCGAAACTGACAAACCTTTCCCTTTTGCAGTTTGCAGTTATCATAAATGGATACATGTTTTCTGTTCTTTCAGCAAATAAACACGGTTCACTGCCAAACCCTTCAGTCGTTGAAGTAACGTGTATTCTATTTTCATCCTTTTACGATTGCTCTGACAAAATCAACAAAACTGATGATGTGTACACCAGATACAGTGACGTATGTACAAATATTTCTCTTGGAGCCAAATTCTTACATAATAAATGTACCAGGAATACAACGAATGAAATTCTTCAGTATTTTGAGAAACAAACTATGCCAGCTAGTAGAGATAATAAAATAACACGATGGAGGCATTTAAAGAACAATCCTAAGAAAATTGTGAATTTTGTTATGAGCATAATGTTAAGTAATAAAGTTTATAAACGGCCAATACGAAAGATTCACGAAGCGATACAGAATGTGAAGTTAGAGCTAAGATCAGGTAGGAAATTAAATAAGAGTTTAAAAAAAACATAGGAATGTATGTGCAACGAGCAAAATACGCAGATTTTCGAAAAAAATTGTCCATAAGTAGTTGTTAATCACGCTGAAAAGTGAATAATCAATATTCACGACCACAAAGAACTGCAGCTCCTTCTTGTCATAATTTCTTGTGGTATGAAAAGGTATCACGCCCGACTGGGGTGCGATTTATCATCCATCTCTGTTTTACGTACTCTTTAGGTTTTCTATAACTGGAAGCGGAGTTTGTCCTTGTCCTCAAAAATGAAACTTCTTAACCTTCACATGCAATTTGTATATTTTACAGCATCTACATCGTCGACTAACACGTCCATCATTACCGATGATCTGATTTTGGAATTTTCGTGTTCGGTATTTTCTCTGGCTAGGTACTGTTCACATCAACTTGATCGTTGCTATAAAAGATGTATTCTGTTGGAAAGGGTGTGCACCAGATTGTCTTTTGGCAGCCAACTATTGTCTCTATCGTGCAATAAGGACACAGTCTCCGTATTGACGTCTCTATTATACTCCAGTGACAACATTCGTGTAAATATGTTTTCCAATGACCAAGTTTCTTTATGGAAAAAAATGTTCATGGAATCCCCAAAGACATATGTTGATAAATTAATAAAGACCCTGAGCTTTACTGATTACACAGTATATAAAGAAGGATTCATCTTAAAGATAGACAACAATGGTAATGTAAGGAAGAACTGTGTATTTTTGTTTGTGCCTTTATTTCTTTGCGTGTTTAATATCATATGAAGCAATGAATAATGTTAAAATATCGTCTTAAGACTTCATATAATCTCACACAATGTTTTCTTTCTGAATAAATTCGTAAATATTGTAAAATGAATCCCTATGATTGAGTAACCTTTTACAGGGCCTAAAACAAATTCATCCCAAATATCCACAATTTATGAGCATTTTGCTTTAAAATCTTATAAAATCTGGGGTATATATATTGTTATATTATCGCCACAGCTTTATGCAACAAAATCAGTGGTTGAAGTTTTAAGCGACGTTTCGGCGTGTTTCCCCCGTCGTCCTCAGACACATAATGATAAAGTGATGTGCAAACTATATTATTATTATTAAGAAGTATATATAAGCATTAATGTATAAAATAGTTTGCCCGTCACCTCTTATCATTATGTGCCTGAGGACGACGGGGGAACATGTCGAAACATTGCATAAAACTTTTGTCAGAGTATCACTATTATCACCTATGTTACTATAAATAGTTTATGACTCATTCTAATAATACGTAATCAATGTATTCCTACTCAATCGAGTAGTCCGGTTCCAACATGGCTTATCAATAAAACTAACTAAACATTTTTCTTCATTATATGATTCCCGAACCCGTACCGAAGAGTACGACATGGTGTCAGAACAAGGAATCAACCACAGCAATTTCAGAGGTTTGAAACAGAAGAAAGTTAGTCTTCATCCACATATCGTTCATCGATAAGTAGTTTTCGTCAGCTAGAAAACAACTGCCATTTTTCACCTGCTTATATCCTTGCTCCAACAACTCCTCAATCAGAATTCAGTCGTTTTTATGATCAATAATTATGGCTACGAATCTTATAAATTTAGAACTAGGCCCCAAGATGGACTGGTCGTCCGGAGTTGAACTTTATGCCCGATATAAAAGATGGAAGCAAAAGTGTGAAAACATTTTCCAAGGACCACTCCTTGAGGTTGATGGAGAAGTAAAATGTAAATATCTTCTCATGTGGTCAGGAGATCAAGGATTTGATCAGTTTGTTGAAGAATCAATCCGTGATGCAATTGTATTTGGTATTGACAATCAAAGGATACGTTTCAATTGTACAACCAAGGGTAATGATCTTACTCTCAATGATGCCATCAAGTTTGCTAGAACCGAAGATTGCACCACTCAACAGCTCAAACAGATGGATTTCAAAGATTCAGAATCTGTTCATACTCTTTATAAGAGTAAGCCATCAGCACATACTACTAAGACTAAGAACCATGGGTACAGCCATGGTCATAACAAGCAATCAAGTCATCAAAAGCCCAGAAGCCACAACAAGTCTTCATATCAGAACAGTCAGAAGTCAAGTTATCAGCAATCATCAGGATATAACAATCAGTCAAATCTATGCCAATATTGTGGTGAATCATCACATCCAAGATCAAGATGTCCTGCCAGTAATAAACATTGCCAAAAATGTAACAAATTTGGTCATTTTGCTAGAGTCTGTAAACAAGGTCAGACAGCTAATAGAATCAACATTGTAGAGTCCACAGAATTCAATGATTTATTCATTGGTACTATAACAACTACCCAGGAGATCAACACACTAAATGATCAAGGTCAATCATCCACCAAGATGATGATGAAACTTTCTGTATCCACCAAAGTGAAACCAACTCATCAAACTGATGTTATATTTCAACTTGATACGGGTGCTGAAACCAACCTTATCACCAGAAAGATTTTCCATCAACTCTTTCCACTTGATTACAAGTTAAATCTTCCATCATCAATATTATTGGGATATGGTGGATCAAGAATATCAAACCTAGGATCATGTATTCTCTACATTCAGCATAATGATACAGAACATTCTGTAATTTTTAATGTCACAGATGGAATAGGTCCTGCTATTTTAGGCCTCAATAGTTGTTTGAAGATGAATCTTATTCAAGTCAACTTTTCTGTGAATAAAGAAGAAATAACTCCCAAGTTAACCAGAGAATATTTTTTGGATCAATACAAAGAAACATTCACTGGAATTGGTCTTTTCCCAGGTGCTGCATATCACATTCGTCTGAAGAATGAAGCTCAACCAATTGTCAATCCTCCTAGGTCAGTCAGCATTCATCTGCAAGATAAATTCAAAGAAGAACTAGATAGAATGGAAAGAATAGGAGTCATTTCACAAGTAACCAAACCACCAGAATGGGTGAATTCATTTGTCATAGTAGAAAAGGGTAATGGCAGAGATCTGCGCATTTGCCTCGATCCTCGAGACCTCAATAAGAGTACCCACGACTATACCAGAACCATAGATGACATTGTCCCAAAGGTATCAGGTGCCAAATTCTTTTCATTACTTGATGCTCGATCAGGTTATTGGATGTTAAAGCTTGATGAGAAAAGTGCACTACTCACTACTTTTTCAACTCCTTTTGGTCGATACAAATTTGAAAGACTCCCTTTTGGTTTCATCGTCAGTCAAGATATATTTCAACGCAAAATGGATGAAGTATTTAGAGATTTACCAGGTGTATCTAGAATCGCTGTTGATATCTTTGTTTTCGATAAAACAGAAGCCGAACATGATCACAACTTAATCCAACTACTCGACAGAGCCAATGAAAATGGAATCAAGTTTAATCCTGAGAAACTTCAACTTAAAGTTAAAGAAACCAAGTTTTTTGGTCACATATGGACTCCAGATGGTCTTAAGCCAGATTCAAGTAAGGTCAGTGACATCATTGATATGAATGCTCCTTCCAGCAAAGAAGATCTACATTCATTCCTAGGAATGGTCAACTATCTCAACAGATACGGTCCTGTATTATCCACACTGTCTTCTCCTTTAAGAGATCTTGTTAAAAAGAATGTTATATTCAAATGGTATCCTGAGCACCAATTATCATTTGAATCTGTCAAACAGGAGATTGCTAATCACTCAACATTAACTTACTATGATCCGAAAAAAAACAATGTTATCCAGTGTGATGCAAGTACACGTGGACTTGGTGCTACATTACTACAAGATAACAAACCAATATGCTATAAATCAAGTTCATTGACAGAAGCTGAGCAGAGATACAGTAATATTGAACGAGAATTATTAGCTGTAGTCTGGAGCTTAGAGAAATTTAATTATTTTATCTATGGTAAACATGTCCTGATCCAGACAGATCACAAACCATTAGAAGCAATATTCAAGAAACAAATATCAAAGGTCAGTCCACGACTTCAGAGACTATTACTCAGAACAACCAAATATGACGTCACTGTAGAATATTTACCTGGAAAATCAAATGTTATAGCAGATGCTTTAAGTCGTGTCGATCCTTCAATTTGTAGGAGAAAAGATGAAGATGATGACTTACCTGAAATACGTCTTAATCTTATAACCAGCTCTATGAATGCATCTCAAGAAACCATAAAGAATTTAAAAGGTAGCTTGCGTTGCAAGGTAACATACGCCCACTGACAGCTGTGAGAAATAATAAAACAGTCTTTAGTGACTAAAGTACGAATTTTCTCATATTGAAGAAATTATTTATGCTGAATAATTCCACAAAATTTTTAAATATAGCTAATAGAGTGAAACGTCAAGTCAGACACGATATTACACCAGACACGATATTTCGGTGAAATATTATGCGATCATCGCGAAAATCGATAGGGATCATCTTCATAATGACATTGACATACAAAATAAAAATCAAAAGAATCTGTAAACAATTGTAGCCTGTAGAGTGAGCACGAGTTGCACAATATAGCTAATAGAGTAAAACGTCAGGTCAGACACGATATTTCGGTGAAAAATTATCCGATCATCATGAAAATCGATAGATGATCATGAAAATCAATAGGGATCATCTTCATAACGACATAGACATACAAAATAAAAATCAAAAGAATCTGTAAAGAATTGTAGCCTGTAGAGTGAGCACGAGTTCCACAATATAGCTAATAGAGTAAAACGTCAAGTCAGACACGATATTTCGGTGAAAAATTATCCGATCATCACGAAAATCAATAGGGATCATCTTCATAATGACATTGACACACAAAATAAAAAATCAAAAGAATCTGTAAAAAGTTGTAGCCTGTAGAGTGAGCACGAGTTGCACAATATAGCTAATAGAGAAAAACGTCAAGTCAGACACGATATTTCGGTGAAAAATTCCACAAAATGTTTTAATATAGCTTATAGAGTGAAACGTCAAGTCAGACACGATATTTCACCAGACACGATATTTCGGTGAAATATTATCCGATCATCACGAAAATCAATAGGTATCATCTTCATAACAACATTGACATACAAAATAAAAATCAAAAGAATCCATAAAGAACTGTAGCCTGTAGAGTGAGCACGAGCCAAATGTGAACGGACGGACGTACCGACGGGGTGATTACAATATACGCCCATCTTACGTGTGGGCGTATAAAAAACTCACCAAAGAAGATAAAGTTTTAAATCAACTTGAGCATATTATTAGAAATGGATGGACAAATGATAGAGCAGAATGCCCTAATGAAATCCTAGACTATTGGAACTATCGTGAAGATTTATCAATAGAAGATGGTCTTATCTTCAAATGTCAACGTTTGGTCATACCTTCATCACTGAAAAAAGAAATGTTATCTATTCTACATCAAGGTCATTAAGGAGTAGAGAAATATCTTCTTAAAGCTAAAGAATCAGTATTTTGGCCAGGAATTACATTAGACATCAAGAATTTAATTTCATCATGTTCAACATGCCAAACACATCAGAGAATGCAGCCAAATGAGCCTCTACTACCTCATGAACTACCACAGTATCCATTTCAGAAAATAGGTACAGACATATTTGATTTCAAACAGAAACACTATCTAATTATTGTGGATTATTTCTCCAAATTTCCACTAGTTAGACTCTTGGGATCTGGAATGTCTGCAGAAAGTGTTGTTACTCACACCAAATCCATAGTTACAGAATATGGTATTCCTGAAATCATTGTATCAGATAATGGTCCCCAGTATTCTAGTGAATTGTACAGGATCTTTTGTCAAAAGTACAACATTTTACATCATACTAGCAGTCCAAGATACCCAGCAAGCAATGGACAAGCAGAAAGGTGTATACAAACAGTTAAGAAGCTACTCATTAAAGCTTTAGAATCAGGTCAAGATGCTAATTTAGCTTTACTCAACTACAGATAACACCATTATCAAATAATATTCCATCGCCAGCTGAATTATTATCTGGAAGACAATTTCGTACCTTGTTACCTATAAAACAAGAGAAACTTAAAATATCAGCTGAAAGACAAAATTATAATCAACACAGAAGTCAACTACAATTAAGACAAAATCAACAAAACAAGTATTATGATCAACACAGTAAACCTCTACCAGAACTCCAGGTTGGTGAAAGTGTCCGGTATTACTGTGAAAATTCAAAGCGATGGGAACCAGCTATAGTTATTGCAAGAGACACTTTACCACGTTCATATCACGTTTTTATCAGAAAAGGGAGGAAGATATCACAGAAATCGTAAATTTATTCGCAAAACCCATGAACATTACAATTTTGATTTCGATTATGACTGTGATATTTCACCCAGTGTCAATAATGAACCTCCTGATAACAATTTGGATGATCATAATGTGCAAAATCAAAACTATGATCAAGATATTATTGTGAACGATCAGAATGTTGATGATGAAAATCTGAACCACAACAATGATAATGCAACCAAAACCAGATCAGGCAGACTGATAAAACCACCAAATAGATTGGATCTTTAAAAATAATTTTCATACATGTGAATGTGTGATAATTTTTCTAAAATGTTAATTAAGCTTGTATTATCATTATGTTGAACAGATTTGGTAATTTAGAGACTTAAGTTTGATGGACAAACCATATCAGTTTTAATTTAAAATATTTTAATTATTTTATTTCTCAAAAGAGGAGATGTCAGAGTATCACTATTATTAAGTAAACAATACCTTTAAACCCATAGTCAATAGATACTCTGGTATATCCTATGTTACTATAAATAGTTTATGACTCATTCTAATAATACGTAATCAATGTATTCCTACTCAATCGAGTAGTCCGGTTCCAACATGGCTTATCAATAAAACTAACTAAACATTTTTCTTCATTATATGATTCCCGAACCCGTACCGAAGAGTACAACTTTAACGAGTGATTGTTGTTCCATAAAGATGTGTCTATATAACGGACTCACAATTGCTAAATGTCATTTAAAGAAGGGAATGAATCCCATCTAAAACTGGAGAGGAAGGTCGGCCTACGCGAATCATTTGTTTTTTTAGTTAGTCCCAAGTCCTTGGAAGCAAAAAGTTGAATTGAAACGGTATTAATATTTCCCTTAAACTAAATCCTGATTGATGGTATAGACAATTTTTTTAATGATATTCATAGTTGGAATGGTCGTATTATCACCATTATCACAAGAGAGACAATTTCTTGGAATATTTTACAACTTCAAGGGAGGCAATCCTGACCAAAAAAGGCGACAACCCTCTTAAATTCATATAAGAAGCTCACATGCTTTATGTTTTTCAATAGACTCCCTTGCGAAAAAGTTTAATACTTAACCTTCACTGGTTATGTATATTAACTCTTTTAAGAATATCTTGAGAGATTTATTATTCATAAAGAGAATGTCGTCAATAAGGCCTAGATATCTTAATGCTGATCAAGATCTCTGTAGGGAGAAACTGCTTCGATGACGTCTATAATTAATTATTCAATTATCTATGTTGTTTTTAATTTCATTAATCTTTCCGAATAGTATATAAGAAGTACGTTTATATCTATAAGTATTGGTGAAGTCATCTTCACAATGTCGAGCTATTACGAATTTCATTTAATACCTTGACAGTGGCGTTTCTTCGAATTTGGAAATATGTATAGAAGTATAGTCGTTGTATCTATCTGTTCTTAGATAAAACAAAATATTAGGTATTGAAGGATTGTCCGATATATGAGTGTGGTTTGATAACATTTGTACACAAATGAAAAGGGATCTCGGATGTTTTAAGTGTGTTTTGATGTTGCCCACAATAAAATGGAGTTCTTGTTCAGAATTGTTGCAGTATGTTGTATAGGATTTCGAATAAATTGTATATTTATATGTACCGATCCAACTTTACTGAAATCTGTTAGAAATTGTGAAAAACTTGAAGGTTATTTGATAGAAGCGACTACAACCAGCCTGATGAATTGTGGTAAAGAATGTGTTTATCAAACGAATTGTTTATCGTTTAATTACAATACACAAACTGGAAGATGTGAATTAAATCGTAATGTTAATTCATCTTCATCTCCCTTAATCAGTTCTCCGGGATTTTTATATTCCGACAAATCTAATTGGATAAATGTTGTTACTGATCCCTGTCGAGATGTTACTTGTTTGGATAATGAGAAATGTGTTGTGAAGAATGATACGGGTGTTTGTATAAAATATGACTGTTATATTCCATCGGAAATGTTGTATTCTGGTGAACCGCTTTATTCTGGAACGGTTCACGGATATGACGCAGTGTATAACTGTTCCGGTCCTGGGGTAGTTCGTGAAGACGTAACCTTGACCTGTCAACCGAATGGACAATGGGTAGGTCGACAGTGTAGAAAAATATCAACTTGTTTACAAATTAAACAGTGTGAAAAATACAATTATACTGATGGAGAATACTGGCTTTACCCACAAGTATACGACAGTACTAAAAGGGTTAAAATATACTGTCACGGTCTCAATACGACTACACCTAAAGAGTACGTCACTTTAATTAACGAAAATATAGTTAGGTCTGGCACTAATATAGCCTCGCTAAGAAATAACGGTCAAGACTGCGTTTCTCGGTCCACTACCCATCCCAAGTTCGGTGCAGCTAAGTTCAACAAAATGCGTGTTGATCCATATGTTATGTTTGTTAATGTATCTGATATGACGTTCACATCGGAGTCGGTTGGAATCCAGCAGTATGGTAATACTTTTGATTGCACAAGTCGCTCCGCGGCCTGTGATATATTTAGGCGCGGATATGCTAAAATTGATACTAGCCATACAGGACTGATAGTTTCAAGAAATGTCGAGTGGGTGACTTATGGTTGGCAGCCAGTAAAATGGTACTTTAATAGAACCAGTGACCAAGTTATTGAGATGCTTTGTTCGGGACATTGTGGTGGGTGTGGAACCAGAGGGTTGCTTTATCTCGTGCCAGATTCTTCTGTAAACGTGCCTACTGACAGTGCAATAGAAGTTAACTGTTTATGATCTTAGTATAGAAGTTTAATAATTTGTGCAACAACAAAAAACATGACGCATTTAAATAATTATTAAGTTTAACAAGACGTGTATGGCCTATGAAGGCAGGAGTGCTTTTTCATAAAATGAACTTTTTTCTTTAAAATTAACGATCCAATTTAGTTCATTTCACTTTACATTTCAATTCACTTTTGAAAAAATTTCATTTCTTTTTAATCTTTTCGTATTTTTTACTGCTTTAATTTTTTATTTGATTTTATTGTAACTTTTTTTTTTACTTTTCAATTCAAAAACTCACACCAACGTATGAAGGCATAGTGTCGTGGTCATCCACTTATCTGTTACTACTATGCAAACAGTACAAACAGATCCAGAACACTAAAACATTGTATTGCATTAATGATTGTAAACTACTATGAAGGGTGTAGTAATTTTCGACATTCCATTCTCCCAACCTTTTTTTTTTTTGGTTTTTGCAAGCTTATTCTTGGCCTAGATTTGGATGTTGATGAGTGAAAATGAAACTCATTTCGTACATTTAAGAATCTATAGGAATAAAAAATTTCTTCCTGTTTTGCACTTAAATTTGTTAAATTACCATCTAAGAACCTCGCTGACATCAAAATTTCAATTCACAATTCCATAGAAGATCATCAGAAGAAATTGGCCATGTAGAGGCTTCATCTCTGACTGGCCGTTAACACAATTGAGCTTGAAATTTTTGCGATATTCACAGGTCAGAAGCAACCATATAATGTAGATGGATTTCTGCCAATTCCATCAATATATCTGCCCCATCCCATTACTGTGTACTGTGAAAAAATGGCTTTATATAGATAACTGAATAGTAACACAGGCGTGAAAATGCCTTTATATTGGTCCGAATGCACCATCTTTATCTCAAATTGTTACATTCTAGTGAATGAATGTTCTAGGAGAGATTCTATTGAGTAGAAAGATAGCTTGCAATGCACTGGCAGCTTTGATTTTAAATAAAAGATATTTTGCAGTACAGTAATGAAATACTTAATCTCCGGTCATACAATGCTGTGGAAAATTTTGCTGTGATACGGAATAATATAAGTTTGGTACAAATCTGGCAAGAATCGACCCTTTAAGTGTTTCAAGAAACAGGTCAATAACTCATAATAAAATAGCTTTCCATTTTCATTAAGGTTCATCTATGGGTGATAATAATCGGTGAATAAGACTTGGTGTGCCCTCACCCTAATTAAGAACTGTACAGCGACAAACAACCAATGCCTTCGTCCTTGTAAACAACCTAAAATCCATACTTTTCATTTTATTACATTCATTAAATGTATTTTAGAAAAATATTTTATGTTTAGTTTTATCGATATATCCAGGTTTTGGCCACGATACTCTTCCATTATCACAATGGGTATGGAGATGCATTCAATAAGGTCTTTTGATTGTACAGTGGCTGTGTAAAAGGATTATGGAAAAGTGTACCTTTATCCATTTTTCACATTTGCTAAAAGTGCACCTTCAGTTCCAAAAATGGTCATAGGGGAGCAATATCTGTAATAGATTTATAAGAAGTTATTTGAGGGTAGGTAGGTAGATGACAAGTTAACGTTCGCTTCCAGCGGATGCTGATTTTGCAAACTAGGTAGTTGTTGGTAGTCGTAGTAGTTAGATTGGTTCAAATTGGATGATTCTGTGTTGTTGATTTGGTTGTTGATTTTTCGTTAGATCTGGTCTGGTCGAATGACTTGGCGGTGAAACTCGATCCTGGATGGTGTGGTGTTTGATTGGCTACCAATGCCTTCTAGAGCTTCCGAGCATCCTGATTGGGTGAGAGCATCAATTGCACTTATGTTGGATTAGAACATAGATGTATAGTGGTGTAACCTACATTCGTGCATATAAGGATTCAATACTTAGATTTAAAAAAAATAATTTTTTTATGTCTTAGCTGTTTCTTCAGATATTCCATAAAGTAATTAAAATTTGGCTTGTTTCGATTTTCTTTACTAATCCCTCACCTTGACCCATATTTCATGAGAAGCCAACTCGACGGTTACGAAATGCGTCACCTATTTTCGTGTACAATGTTTAATCTATGAATAAGTCGAGAAAAACACGTTGTATGGAAACCCAGTGGTGTTCGGGCCCTGGTTCCCTACCTGGAGTTGGTGTGGGACTAGGGTGTCAGGGGTGTGGCCAACTGGTGTAGGAGAAGAATTTGTTTCGAATTGAGAGAGCACCCCACATCAACACATGCTAAAAACGTGGATGAAACAAATTTTGGGGGATGTGAAAGATCCAGGTGATTGCTCCAGGGGTGTGAAGGCTGAGAAAGGTTGGGAACCACTGTGTAAGGGTGTATTGAGACTAGTCTCAATGAAAGCACTGACCTAGGTCACAGTGCAATAGAAAAGCTTATTAATTGTGTGAAAATTAGTTAGTCATTAGTATGATTTTAGTTGAAAAGACACACACACCAACACACACGTACTCTGACATATAATATACTGTATATAGCAATGGCACCAGTCCTGAAATAAGTATTTCCTGAAATCTAACTTAGAAATCGATGTCACATTTATATGGAGAAATATCTACTTTTGAGATAAACAGCGCTGAAAACACTATACCTTTCCTGGATGTCAATATTGAAATAATCAACAACGCAAGTCAGCACATCAGTTTATAGAAAACCTACGCATACCGATCATTATCTTCATTATAAATCCAACCACCCCTACCAGCGTAACAAGGCATTATTACCACCCTCACCAGACGTGCTGTAAATTTTTGCAGTAAAGAAAATCTACAGAAAGAAATCGACCACCTTAAAGATGTATTTACAACTTAAACCATTACCCAGAACACCTCGTCAACCAAACAATAGCCAAAGCCATGAAAGCCAAACCAACAGCTAAACCGGAACCCCCACATATTGGAGTGAGCATACCATTAAATGGAAACTCATCTTATAAAATGAAGATTAAGCATGAGAATTCAGTAAAGTTCCTGGGAGTACACTTGTAACAAGTGTCTAACTTGGAGTGCGCACATTGATTATATCTGTAACCGGTCTACAAAAATCTTAAATGTTATGCGCTATGTTTCAGGTACCGCATGGAGAGCAAACAGAGAAACTCTAATGATGATATACAGGTCACTGGTTCTTTCAGTTATTGATTACGGTTGTAATGCCTATGGTAAAGCAAGTGATACTCAACTGAAGAAACCCGACGTTCTACACATGAAAGCTATACGCATTGCCACCAGGGCAGTTGTAGGTACGAAAACTGAGAAGATTTACTCGTGTTGGAAATAACCAGAAGAATCGGAATCGGGCAAGCGGTCATTGATCTATAGAGAAAGCACCAGCTCGATCAAGTAACGATCCTTGAACGGCTCCTATCGGATACTCCTTTTGGAAGGTTACCAACTCGACAGTCAACACCCACCTGATCCAGAGTACCAACAAGCACGGGAACCCAGTAGGAGGATATCCAGCCTGTAGAATACTCCTATTCTGCACTATCGTATCTTCTAGGATCAAACAGAAATACCAGATGCAGATTGATCCGAAGATACCAAACAAAACCAAACGAAACCAAACCATCCATCTGTAGCCATCTGCAAAGACCACATAAAAGCTACAGGCCACAAAGTTAACTGGGGTGAAACCATAACGGCAATCAATGAAATAAGAAGGAAAATCATTGAAGTCATCCAAATTCGAAGACATTTATCCATTAATCACTAGAGATCCTGGGGTTTTTATCCCTAGAGCCTAATGATAACCTTATCCATTAATTAGCAGTTATAACTTACAATTACAGTAGTATTCTTAATCCGCTGTTGTCTTTATCTATACAGTATATACTTATTAACCTTTATAATATCATCCATTGCTTGATATACACCAGAGAATCTGATTGAACGTCGCTCAAACCTTGTAATCCATAAGAATTGTTTTATTATAAAGCTTCAACCAAATGTTTTGGAAATTTGTTCTGAAGTTCTGAGTAATGGCGTTTGATTATTATGGAGGCTTTGGTAGCTGTAGAATAATATGTCGTTACGAAGGGGATTATCTGGTTATCGTTGAATGTTAAATCCATTTGTTATCACAGTCTGTAATAAATCGATCCAGTAAAATTTCGCGTTGTAGACGCCTAAGCTTACGTTTGATACTATATTTCTATAGGCATGATGAGAATTACAATGTGCCCTTATTACTATGACCAAAATACCTTGTGCCCGTATTACTGTGACCCAAATACCGTATGCCCGTATTACAGTGACCAAAATACCGTGCCCGTATTACTATGACCAAAATACCTTGTGCCCGTATTACTGTGACCCAAACACCGTGTGCCCGTATTACAGTGACACAAACACCGTGTGCCCGTATTACTGTGACCCAAAGACCGTGTGCCCGTATTACAGTGACCCAAACACCGTGTGCCCGTATTACTGTGACCCAAACACCGTGTGCCCGTATTACAGTGACCCAAACACGATGTGCCCGTATTACAGTGACCCAAACACCGTGTGCCCGTATTACTGTGACCCAAACACCGTGTGCCCGTATTACAGTGACCAAAATACCGTTACCGTATTACTGTGACCATAATACCGTTCCCGTATTACTGTGACCCAAATACCGTGTGCCCGTATTACTGTCACCAAAATACCGTTCCCGTATTACTGTCACCAAAATACCGTTCCCGTATTACTGTGACCATATTTCCGATGACCACAAATTTCCCGTATTACTATGACCAAAATACCGTGTGCCCATATTACTGTGACCCAAACACCGTGTGCCCGTATTACTGTGACCCAAACACTGTGTGCCCGTATTACAGTGACCCAAACACCGTGTGCCCGTATTACTGTGACCCAAACACCGTGTGCCCGTATTACAGTGACCCAAACACCGTGTGCCCGTATTACAGTGACCCAAACACCGTGTGCCCGTATTGCTGTGACCCAAACACCGTGTGCCCGTATTACAGTGACCAAAATACCGTTCCCGTATTACTGTGACCATAATACCGTTCCCGTATTACTGTGACCCAAATACCGTGTGCCCGTATTACTGTCACCAAAATACCGTTCCCGTATTACTGTCACCAAAATACCGTTCCCGTATTACTGTGACCATATTTCCGATGACCACAAATTTCCTGTGATCAACCATAGAACTGTATACTTAAAAGCAGCGCCTGCGTTTGGTAGATATAAATAAATGAACGGATACAATACAGTAAAACAGTAACGATAATTTAAAGTTGAGGCCTGTACATCATGAACAACGCCAGCCAATGAAACAAATATCTTTCGGAAATTTGATTTTCAGACCAAATTGCCGGTTTTTTTCACTACAATTTTGTGGAATTGGAGTGTTTTTGTTTCAAGTGATGGAACCAAATACATTCTAGGACAAATCGAATGGCAAGGACAATCCTGGGAAGAAAGTTTCTTGGAAGAAATGATGAATTAAAAATTGATTACTGTCTGACTACATTGGCTTTGAATTTTAGTTTTTCTCTTATTTCATAAATGTTCAAAATAAAATTTTAAATTTTATGCCATTTGTTTTAGAATGTCTTCGGGTCCATAGAAATATATTCAGCGTTTTTACATTTGCACTTACTTTTCGGACTGAAAATTACCTTAGCTAAAAATAACTTTTCCAATGGTTAACATTTTCATCAACCAAAAGACAATGTAAGACTATCTGTATTTTGCAATTAATCTTTCAATAGGCCTACGTTCGAAAATGATTGCCCACATTCGATTCAGAAATCATTGTAGTCAAAGTGTAATCTTTTATCCAATCCCCCCACAATAATAACCATCTAGGTAGGGCTTCCCATTAACCCGTCATAAATAGGCAATTTCGTATTATATTAGAATGAAAATCAGATACATTTTATTTTTATTGCAAACCCTTAAGGCAATATAATTTATTTTTATGCGTTTCCTGTTTGTCGAATGAAATAATTTTGTACGGAGCATCTGAAGATGGCGGAGCAAAATAAAAGTAAAACTAAATTACAAGAAGATATTAAAATTCAAGGTGAAATTGTAAGAAAATTAAAATCTGAAAAGGCAGATAAAGAACAGGTGGGTACAGCTTCGTTTTCTGATTTTTAGATCTAGAAAGCATGCTATAGATATTTTTTATATGCGACATATGGTTACGCACTCTGAAATAATGGTTGCTTTTGTTTTGTCAAGACTCGCCGACAATGCACGTGTTGTTGTCATATATGGATTAGTATTTAGTATTTAGATTGGAATTCTGTATTTCGATTTGAAACTATCTGTAACTCGAAGCATGCATATGATGAGAGATCAGTATCTGATCATAGGTTTCAAATATTTTTGCAAAATTTCATCATTTCTGGTTTTTTCAAAAAGGGCAGTAACTCTTGGTTTCCACTGGTTGAACACTATTTATGATGCAAGAAATTATTTGGCAAATCTTGTCTGTTTAGTGTTTATAGGCTTCTGTAAATAAAAGATGATGCAAGACAAGAAAATAATCAGATCTTGACAACAACTTTTCATTTCTGATTTGAGCTGACAAAGATAGGGTATAAGTTTATTTTAAAGAAATTATTTTTGTGAATTTAACCAGATAGATGTGCAACTGTGGTTTAGAATTAGGTGTCCTGATGCCTGACAGATTTTTTGGAAAAGTTTGCAGGAAGAGTGGAATAGATTTTAGTGATTGTGAACCTAACAGTTTATTGATATCAACTTTGTGTCAAATAGTTTGTGGTCGGTCAAGGAGGAAGGCAAATAGTATAGGCCTGCACTAGAAGTCATTTTTTTGTTTCTGAATGTTTAAAGCTGTTATTCTCAGCCTTATAGATTAAATTATTTTGTGTAAATTGATGGAAGAGTAAAGGTCTGTGTTTTCGGTACAAAAATGTTTCCAGCAGCAAAGAATGATATTGTATTGGTTTGTCGTAATGAGAGACAAGTTGGTCTCTATAGAAAAATCACAGAGTTGGGAGACAAAATCAAATTGTTGAAGACAGAAAAACCTCAAGGTTTCAAAGCAAAGGTGATGATTAAAACTCTTGCTATACATTTTGATAATGTCAATTACAAGATTCAGCTTTGCTTAGATTTATCCTGTTATAATTTATCCATAAATTATAGGTTGTGTAAGAATTTCTTAATACTGTAAATCTGAAATGGATATCATTTGTAACCATAAACAGATATATCCAGTTACTCAGTTGAGAACTCATAACTTTGGAACATAGTTACTGGGAAAGTCTCAAAAGATAGTTTTCTTAATACACAGTTGTTAATTGGAATAAGAATGAACCTGTATCTTCAGTATTATTATAGTCAGGCATATCATAATGCAAGAAAAATTCAATGTTTTACAAAATCTTCTCAAAATAAGCTTAAGCCAGAAATTTGTTTCACACATGGAACCTTTAGACTAACACAGGGAGACATTATGCACATCAAGTAAGACATAGGAAGCCAATAAAGTTCGAACTTGATCAAGGTCCCTGCCAATGATAGGTTTGTACTATATTGAGATAAGCCTAAATAGTCTTGAATACTTGCTATAAATTGGATGCCTGGTTTAATTTATTTACCAGGTGGTTTGCTGATACAAGATTTATTTTCCTTTCCATTTCATCTTTAACTCTGGATCCCTATTGGTTCATTGTTCACATCATACCTGTATATCCAACACTATACTTGTAACTCATAACTATGATGACTTATTCTGTGTATCGATTTCACCAATCTCTGTTACGAAAACATCACATTGGTGGAATTTGGAAACGCTTCATATCTTCATATCAGGTAAGTGAACTCTTGAAATGTGTGAAGATGTAGATTGTAAATAGATGTAAATAGGGAACTGAATTATACTGATATGGATATGATTTTCATGACTTTACCAGATCAGAGTTGTATTTAACTAAGGATTAAGTTTAATTTGATAAGCTGTCCTCAGATTGCATTGATATTGTATAGTACCGGTCTTGACCTGCCCTCAGAACGTAAAAAAAATTGCAAAACAGTACAACAAAACAAAGATTAAAACTCTACCTTACCAGATCTAGTCTTTCAGTAAATCATGGTCTATTTCTTTACAACCATCTGACTTGTTCCCAGTTTGAAATCAAATAACCAAAAGCCACAAGTGATAATGAATAGAACTTATCCAGCCCTATCTTATTCTGAGATAAGATTACATTCTTATTGTCACGATTAAGATCTACAAGTGGAAATAGTGTGCATATTTTATTTGTATTTTAACTAATTTGTGAAATAAATTCAAATATGGAAGACAGTGCCATGGGAATACATAAGAATATTAAAATTGTTAAGTGTCCAATTAAGAGTAGAATAGAACAGGTAAAGAAGCAAACATGTTAATTTGGCTGTATTTTCTGGGAATGAGTACTTTCCTTAGCTTAAGGATGTTGACGTTGATTTTACTGTGAATATTTTTCATACAAAAAAATTGTATCAGGTATGACTAGGTAATTGCGTGTGTGTCGTCCATGACTTTGTTGGTTCTACTTTGAATGAGGACATATTTCTAGGATTGTCTGGTTAACGTGTGTCATGACTGACAAAGATAAGGATATCATAACCTATATAACTATGTTTGTATTGTAAACAATTCAATTACCTCAGTGCTGATGCAATAAACATGTTTTATGTTTTAAGATATATGTTATCAGACAGAGACACGTCTGACAATTTGGTGAAAGAAAAACTTGAAAAGAATGAAAAATCATATACTCAAATTAAAACTAAAAAGGTATTTTATGTAGATCCAAGGACAAAGAAATAAGTTTCAATTGGTTAAGAAGATTTTTTTTGGATTAATATGATTTCAATAATTTATTTTTCCAGATCAATGAAGAAGTAGCCAAGTTATTAGCTTTAAAAGCTGAATTAGGAGATGATGGACCAGTTAAAAACTTTGTTCTTAAAACACCCAAGGTAGGACATTCGTTTACAAAATTGCAAAAGAGCAAAATTGTAAATATTCATTTTGCATGGATTGATTGCTGTTGAGTTGCATGACAGTCATGTTTTGTTCATTTTCAATAATTCAAACATGTTCAGTGAATTTTTTTAGGAAGGGTTAATCTTTATTTGGTGCATTATTTATTATTTAAAAGAAAGTGTGATCATGTTTAAGTATTTACATTAACCTATTTAATAGAAAATATTTATCTCAGTGTTTCATAAGATTGATGTGTATTTTAACATTGATTTCAAGAAAAATTAGGAGAAAATTAAGCCTTATAGTCTTATACATACTGAATAATGATTTTTTTCTAGGGAACTCGAGATTATGGTCCCCCACAGATGGCTATACGAGAGGGTGCATTTAATAAGATAATATCAACCTTTAAACGTCATGGTGCTGAAACTTTAGATACTCCAGTTTTTGAATTAAAGGTATGTTAACCTCAAATTAATAAATTTTCAGGGTTTAAATTACAATATTGATCTCTTAGCTAATTAACAGTTAGATCATATTAAGATAAATCTTTGCTCCATGAATGAATGAAAAAGTGGGTTAGGTTCTAAGTCAGTAATTGGAATGATTCTCAACATCATAAATCTTTAAAAGTAAAGTTGTACTTCTAGCCAGCCTAGAAGTCAAGAGGAACACATGGCAGTTACTATAGTTATATAACTTGATCTTTTCTAGGAAACATTAACAGGGAAATATGGTGAAGATTCGAAATTAATCTATGATTTAGCTGATCAAGGTGGTGAATTATTATCATTACGATATGATCTGACGGTATCCTTTTAAATCAGTTTATCAGATGTCAATATGCCACCAGTCACTGTATGAGATGGTGTCAGTGTTAATAACATCTCAATAGTCTAGATTGGTAATTATTGATCTTTGAACATTCAATACCACCAAAATATTGTAATTTGAGATGTGCTTAAAAAAAAGGTGTGCATATTGGATGAGCATTATACTTGCAATTATAGCCTACTGCAAACAACATCATCAATATGAATGGGATGGTGTATATGGTTCTACCATAGCATATAAAGTGGTTCTACTACCTTTATTGTGTGAATGGATATGGTTTTCAGTTTTCCTAATAAAAAGAAAATTGTCAAACAGTATCAAGTATAAAGAGATATATAGAGTATACATAAATAAATATTATAATAACCTTAATCAATATACAGGTACCATTTGCCCGTTTTTTAGCCATGAACAAAATTGTCAGTATAAAACGTTATCATATAGCTAAAGTATATAGACGTGATAACCCAGCTATGACTAGAGGAAGATATAGAGAATTTTATCAATGTGTAAGTACAGAAATCTTTTACAATTTATTAAAACAACCCACAAATTAGGAGATTGAAAAGGTTTTTTTTTATCATGTATAGGGGTGAAATTTCTTATCTAACTATGAAGTAATTAAGATGAATTAATAATGTTTTAGTACAGAAACCTAATTTATATTTTGTTTAATTTCAGGATTTTGATATCGCAGGACAATATGATCCCATGATACCAGATGCTGAATGTATCAAAATAGTGGCAGAAATTCTACAAAGTTTAGATCTAGGAAATTTTGTTGTGAAGGTAAGACACTTACACATACATTCATAATTCTATTTTTAGTACTACTATTATGTTCATTTAATAACGGTAAAATTTGATTCTTCAAATAAGGTTGACAAACTGAGAGTGGTAATAGGTTTCCTAGTAGTGTGAGCATGTTCTGTTACAAGTTTTGTATGTGACATTGTTGATGTTTTTGTATTGATTTAAGGTAAACCATAGAAAGTTATTAGATGGTATGTTTGCTGCCTGTGGTGTACCTGATGATAAATTTAGATGTATCTGTTCTGCTGTTGATAAATTAGACAAGGTCAGTTTCTTATTATTCTTCAGCCTCTTGACAGAATCTGACATGATCTGTTGTCTTTAGTCTTTAGATAGTCCAGTTCTGGAGTTTTTGACTAGACATAATCTGTCCTGATGTACAGACCTTGGACCAAATCTCTAATGATCTGTGGATCCTCTTCAGGATATTATGTTGTTTACTACTGCGTTTTTATTATTATTTTTTCAAAATTGACCAAATTTGCAGAGCACCATTGACTTTTAAGTACAATATTTTAACCATTTATTTTGGTTATTGTAGACATTTTGGAATGATGTTAGGTCTGAAATGATTGATGAAAAAGGTTTAGATCCAACTGCAGCAGATAAAATAGGAGAATACGTACAATTAAAAGGTAGGCTTTTTTCTGGAGGTACTTTCTTAAAGAACTTCATCAAGGACCACTTAATGGCTAGAAATATTGTGTCTTGCCTGTTTTCAATTATTAATTATTCTTTCATTAATTTATATATAAATTTCACCAAATTATTTACAAATTCACCAAATTGTTTACAAATTCCATCACACTGTTTACAAATTCCATCAAATTATTTACAAATTCACCAAATTGTTTACAAATTCCATCACATTATTTACAAATTCCATCAAATTATGTACAAATTTCATCAAATTATGTACAAATTTCATCAAATTATTTACAAATTTCATCAAATGTAAAATTGTCTTGCAGAATTCATGTATTGTAGTTGTTATATTTTTTTCTATGAATATTTTCAGGTGGTTTAGAATTAATAGATAAATTATTACAAGATGAGAATTTAAACAAACAGAAATTAGCTGTAGAAGGTTTAGAAGATTTGAAATTAATGTTGAAATATTGTGATATATTTGGTATTCTGGACAAGGTAAAGTTTTATCTTATCATAAATCTTAATGGCAATGACAATACTAATTCTATATGATCATATTATTGTTGATTGATAAGTTTTATTATTCAAGTAAACCCATCTTCACAAAAAAATCGTTGCTAATTTGTTGTATTTTTCCTTTGTAAACGTTTATATTACCTTAATGTGTTTCAGGTGAGCTTTGATTTAAGTTTAGCTCGAGGGTTAGATTATTATACTGGTGTTATATATGAAGCTGTTTTAACAGGTTTGTTTACTCTTATTGTTGTTAATTTAATCAGACAGCTTACTCAAAATTTATTTTATTTGCAACTTACAATAAAATGAACATATGCTGCTTTGCCAGCAGTACCTTGGGTTTTTCAAAGTTGGAAATGATTGATTATGTGACTATTTTGTAGGTTATAGTCATAAACCTAACAGTGGTGAAGGAGAAGCAGAGAGTGTAGGTAGTGTTGCTGGTGGTGGAAGATATGATGGTTTAGTTGGTATGTTTGATCCTAAGAATAAAATGGTACCCTGTGTTGGTGTTAGTATTGGTATTGAGAGACTGTTTGCTATTTTAGAAGCTAGAGCTCAGGTATTCACTTTACTCTTAAAGGAATAGAGCATCTTATAATGAACAAAATATTTTAATTTGGCTCAAACTTGGCCAATAACAGTATATATCCATCAGTGGACTTTCCTAGTGTCATAACTATACATCAAAATCCCTCTATAATCCACAAAATCAAGTAATTAATTATAAAACGCTTAATACATCCATTAAGCAATTTTCAAAGTCTTGGAAATGATAATAATAAGGGAAGTAACTCTCAACATCGTCAGACACTTTTTGAACAATGTGCGATATATAAATCTACAAAAGACTGAGAAAAAGCAATTCATATAATTTAGAATGAATACTTCACCACTGATACAATTTTCAACAAATATTAAACATTGGCAAAGATTGTTTGTATTCATCGGAAGATGATTGCCATTTGGCACTTGTGCATTGATAGGCTTTTCCTTTTTCCTGTTTTAGCGTTGATTACCCAGACCTCTTTTTTCTCAAACAGAAAAAACTGATTCATCAGTTGCTCACTTGTTTTTTTAAATTCTGAATAATAGTTTTATTGTCACTTTTTCAAAATTGATAAAGTGTGGGATGCAAACTTATTTAACCAATGGTCACTATTAAACACAAATATTAGCCACAGGACATTCTATTCCTTTAATAGGTATACAATCTTATTGTGAAAAACATATTTTTTTTGTTTATAGTTTTGATATGTTGTATGAATATATTTGTTCACCAATTTCATTATTTCTATTAAAGATCTCTTGACAGTCGGAAATAGGTAGATTAATGTTGCTGGCAAGATTTCCCTCATTGCACATTGAATGGCATTGCCCTCCTTCATAAACCCAAACTTGAATTCATTTCCATTATTTATTGCAGGCATCAGAGAATAAAGTAAGAACCACATCAACTGATGTATTTGTCATCTCAGCTCAGAAAAACATGTTAGAAGATAGATTAAAATTATGTACAGAATTGTGGAACAATGATATTAGGGTAGGTAACAATAGATAAATCTCTATCACACTACCCAGCCAACTGATATTACAGTCATGTATCAGTCAATGAAATAGGATCCCATTACATATTATCCAAGGAGGGTTAAGAGGTGTCAAGTTTGTGGGCATTCCTTTCCATTTTGTGGCATTAACTTAACTAATAATATCAAATGATAAATGTCATATTCTGACTTAGAATTGGATGTTGTGTTTCTTGAATTTGAGGAACCTCAGTTTTTCATAAATTTCAAGGAATGGAGAACCCCTGAATTAGTCTTTTTATCTCTTGTCAAGTCTGTGAATTTTGTAACTTGTCTCATTTCAGACAGAACAGTCATATAAAAAGAATCCTAAAATGTTGAGTCAACTTCAGACTTGTGAAACTGAAGGTATACCATTGGCTGTAGTTATTGGCCAATCAGAAATCGAGAATAACATAGTCAAATTACGTAATATTGCTACTAGAGAAGAGGTAAGAATTAGGTTCATTTTGTTGGGGAATATGATACAGGAAATCTCTTTCTGAAAATTGGCATGGTGTCATTTGTAATACAATCTATATTGTGGTCTAATGATATCAAGTCTATAATGCTATCTCGTGATGGGTGGAGAGCCCATATAAAGATAGTTTCATTCTTATTTCCTTACTGAACAATAAGTAATAATGTTTTTTTTTTTCAAACCATGATTAAATCATTAACACATTGTTCATGTTATACTGGAACTTCTTCACTCTTAACACTAGTAATTTGTGTAAAGATTTTGGGTTGTGACAAATCACTCATTAAACATTTCTTTTACAGAGAGAAGTACCCAGAGCAAATATGGTAGAAGAAATCATAGCCGAATTAGACAAATTAAGGAACCAATCAAAATAATTTCTCATATGCTAATTTTGATAACATTATACTTATTTATTAAGATATGGACCAGTTCTGTGCTGTAAATTTGTTTATATTATTATCCATTAGAATTGTTGAAATAATGAAATACATGTATCTAGATCAAAAAAATTCACTGAAGTTGTTTCTTCCAATGTTTTCTGGGACTGATATAACTGTTTTTGACCTTGAAAGTATCAAGAAGTTATGGTTCGGATCTAAATAGCTTGAAACTTAATAAAACTATCTGACTTAAAATCTTTCAAATTGTAATATTTAGTGTATGGCAAGTATGCAGGATTGTATATTAAGCTTCCAGTGTTTGTCTCTTTGTTATATCATGTCATCAAAATGGTGTCAGTTGTTCACTGAAATAAATTCATCATTGTTCATATTGGTTTTTATTTTCAAAACCTATCAACAAACTTAATTGATTCTGAAGAGATGCTGACATGGCAAAATCTAGTCATGGTTGGGGGCAGGGCAGTTGAGGTCAATATCCTCTATCAACTTGGGGGATACACAAATTTTCGACAGACATGGCCGTTTTCTGTGGTATACCACAAGGATCCGTTCTGGCACCTGTCCTGTTTATCAAACAAGTATTGCCTCCAAATATGGCTTGTGCATTCATCTCTTCGCTGATGATACTCAGATGTATGTTAGTTTCGAAGCCAAGTCTGAAATTGCTGTAGTCTTTTGAAACTTATTCCTGTCCAAACTGAAGGTTTGTTCATCGGTACCAATCAGCAGTTAAAAGGGTCTAAAACACAATGTATAAATGTTGCTGGGGAAATCATTGCAATATCACAGAAGCTAAAGAACATTGGAGTAGTGTTTGTTTCAAACCACACTTTTCAACCACATCCTTCCTTAAACTATCCAAATCTGTGTAATTCTTTAAGAAAAATCTTAAAACTTATTTTTAATGATTATTAGGAAGATAATTCTCAAAACTTTGGCAGCACACTAGGAACCTGGGTGCGAGAAATTCGGATATGATGTCATGTAGTGTAAAACCCAATATTTGCTATAAGCTGTTCATATTTAAAGACCTAAACAAAGTTGAGATAATGGAGTATTTTAAGGCCTGGAAGTCAGTGTATGCAGATATTGATGTTTTTTGGGGAATCTTCCTGAGAAGAACAAATGAAGCCTGTATTGTTTATATTTTATTTATTTTTAAATCTTTGTAGATTTTTATTATCATAAAATGTAATAAGATATTTTATCACAGACAAAATAACTACAAAATAACTGTCACAAAATTTAACATTTAACATTGAAAATAGCTTTAAATAGACATATAGCTTGACATCCATCAGATTTATAAAATTTGAAAACACATTCAGATAATTATTTGGGTTGCTATACATACACTTTTCAGTATCTAAATCAAACATTGCATCCACTACAATTATATAAAATCAAATCCTTTAATAAATGAGTAATGATTTGAATTTTCCAAACTTTTATCCAAGTTTCCTTATGGAACAATATGTCTTTATTTCCCAACCAAGTAAAACTCCATTTCCCAACCTAACACCATTTCATCACTTAACCAGTCTTTATTCAGACATAATTTACCATATACCTGATGCAAGACAATCATTTTAAAAGTGATAAGGGTAGCTAAAATTGAGTATAGTAAATTCTTATCTTGAAATCAAAATACCTATAGAGTGCCATTCTAATTCAAGGAAATTGAAATAAAAAATTGTCTTCGCATAAATCTAGACTGACAAGAAATATTGCTTGAATACATATAACTGGTATTAATTTTTGTTTCTTCACATAGACATTATTTTATATTTAAATCATAATTAGAGATCAAAATATACACATGGAACAACATCATACACTTCTATTTCAATTATCAACCCCTCATTGAACTTCATTTAATATAATCTTATTATTTATCTTAATTTTAAAGCTAAAAGTCATTTTATAACGTTCAACTGGATTGAACATTTCTTTTATTATTGAATATTTGTTTAATTGCCTAAAGAATAAAAGAGAATTTTGATACACTTGCTGTAAAAAGGAAACATGTATTTCATGAGGATAAAGATAACCAAAGGTTTGATGTAAGAAACATGACTTAAACTGCTTATTGTCTAAGGCATGGGACCAATCTATACAATATACAAGGTAAATTCGCCCTAAAGGTTAAGAAAACAGAGCATGTTATATTAAGATTAAGTAAAAAATATGTTTGTGGGTTAAGTTATCAATTATTAAAAAGTGTGAGCATTTCTACAAACACCACAGCCAAGAGCAAATTCTTCCCCTGTTACTGGATGTTGGACATGAAGAGGACATTCATCACCATCTAACTGTTTACATCTAGGTCCTGAAACATTCAAAAAAAGTCAGTCAAATTTCTCACTCTTTTTCTGATGTTATATATTTCAATGCGAGCTACAGATGCTCATCTATCTATGGCCTGCTACCCTTGAAGTTAAAGGTCTGATTCTGAGGTAGAAATGATACCTTCAGGCTTTTCTGGATCCAACATGGAAGTAGGATCTTACATGGAAATAGGATCTACAGGTTTGGATAGGACAATAAATTGATGACCCCAAGATCCTTCAACAGTTGTAAATCAAGAAAGAGAAGGCTACTTCCCACATCACAGTTTTCATTCATCCAAAATGGAGCAGCAAAATAGGACCTTGGATCTTTATTCTTTTACAAGACTATTAGTCGAAACAGTTGAATTAAATTACACTACAATGAATCATATTAACATACCAGCAGGACAGTGTGGTAGTTCTGATTTAGGAACATTGGTGACACGTTGGAAATCATCATGGCAGGCATTACAGAAATGGGTGGTACCAAAACAGAAAAATACAGCCACAGAACAACAATATCGACATTTGTACTCCAGAAAATCAGTGCCATGTTTGGGACACATCTGAGCACTAGAAACATCTGAACAACCACCACAAACAAGTTCTTTAGGATCATAATCTTCACCTCCACCAGCCTGTTCATCACATCTAGCTTCACCTCCATAATACGCCTATAAAACAACAAAACTACATATCAGACTGCCTTCTGCTTCAATACATATACAATTTATTCCATCCATGTCTTCTATTAATCTTGAATTCATGAGTAAGACCTATAGGATTCAATGGAGTGTCCACTCTATAAAACTAATTTTTATTTTAATATTCATGAATACCAAAATCAAGTTATAAGCACTACATTATTTCTGACAAACAAACATTAGATACAAATAAACAAGTAGTAGGAAAGACAAATATAAACTAACTTACCTTATTACATTTATAACAGACATAGTAAGCATATCTATCCATAGAGAATCCAGCAGGATCTTTATAAAACCTAGCTCCTGGTGTAGTTATAGCTTCTGCCTTGTGTAGTCCTTCATACTCCAGTCTCATTAAGGCTTTACGTTTAACATCATCATATAGTTCTCTTATAGGATCTAATAGCTCTTTTAATACTGGATGATCTATAGTAGCCTACAATAATATTATTCCAGTTGAAAATCACTTCAACTTCATAATGCATGATTCAAAGATAAGGCTACATGACTTGAATTTTACAAATTGTTTACACTATTATATTGCTGTGGCTGTAATACATTCATGTAGGGTGCACAGGGAACACTCAAGAAAAGGGAACTTCCTCAAAAAGAGCAATGAACATTTCATTTTCATAATGCTATTAACTCTTTGCTTACTGTTAAAGTACATCACTGCCTTGGCATTTGAATTTAAAATGCAATTTTTCCACAAGTGCATTGATGGGATCATCTGTACACTATATTCTTACCTTACAAATAGGACAAAGTGAAAAACCAAACGTAATTCTTGGGCCAACCCATCTTTTCTCTAGAATAGTTCTACTACACTGTAGATGAAATACATGACCACATTTCAACTGAAATTTTAAATTGTAAAGTGGTTACTTATATACATAATCGATCAACAGAAACTTTCCAACAGATGGCATAAAAATTAGTAATGGCGATCCCAGTTATGAGAACAATATAGAGTAATCCAGGGTCCTAGAAGATTATTTGTTTTAAAGGACATAATATGCCATGCATCTTGAATGTGGAACTGGTTTATATCTTAATTTTTGCCTCATTAAAATTACTGGTCCTCAAACACTAATTTCAAATTACTGACTGAATCAACAGTAGTAGATAAATTTAGAAAGAGTTACCTTAATAGCAGGAGCTGCAGATAGAGCCTCAGTAAAACATATCATACACATATCATCAGCATCTTGTTTCAACTGTTCACCATCACCATTTTTACATCCATGTAGACAGGGTAGACACTTCTCTTCATTCTTGATTCCACCACAAGGATGGTGACATGGTAAGATCTTACTACAAGCTAACTTAGCTGTCTCCTGACAATCAGGATCAGAACAGACATTACCTATAGCTAATACTCCTGTCTTACTGGTAGCTCCACAGAATCTACAGGTACCTGGTCCCATACTAGCACTTGATACTTTACCTGTAAATAATACACATAAATACTAACGATACTTGTATGATGTATAACAGAACACCAATCTCTCTAGTAGATCATCTTCATCTTTGCTACTTAAGCCTTACATGCTACTCTCTCAGGAATCAGCTTAAAATAATGCTTCTTTTTAGGTTTATTAACTCTACATTACTAATGAATATCAACATAGACAACCAAAATTGTTTACCTAGAACTCAAGATAATTTTCTTACCTTCTCTGAATTCCACCATTGCTTTCAATGTTTTGGAATCAGCTAAAGCCATCACCCAGAATAGTTTGGTTCTTCCACATCCTTCATGTAAATCTACCTTTATTGCTTCTTCCTCTTCTTTAAACACCTATGTAGAGTATAAACAGGGAACATGCTATATATAGTCTAAACAGGAGAAATACTAAATCAGAATTGCAGATATTCAATTTAGAAGATATACAAGTCTTATTCTGTACAAGAAATATACCATTATGAATTTGTAGGAAAGGTATTCAATTCTGAATCTAAAGGAGAAATATACAATATCAAATCTAAAGAAGAAATATATAATAGCAAAACCAGACAAGATATATATAATCTATCTGTGCCTTACCTGTCGTTGATGTGTACGAGTTCTACGATGTAAATGTAGATATCTATCACAATCAGCACATAGATTACCACATTCTGTACACAGTATAATAGCTGATGTTACATTATCATCATGGTTATCACATGTTGGCTGTAATATAGAGTTCATATAGGCCCTACATTTATCACACCTTCCTTCCTGTATATCTAGCATGTCTGGCAAGCAAACTTATGACATATAGTGATTTTTCCATTTTTGTTATAGGAATCCATTTAGACTTGTAGTGTCTTATGGTAAGATATCAGCAAGCACACATGTGACTGAATTATGTAATAAGCCATCTCATTCTCTATAAGGTCAGTTGACAAGTTTTGGGTTTGAGAAACAAACAAGTTTACACAGAGTCTTTAAGGTTTAATTAACAATGAGTCTAAATGTCATTAATCAATACTGGCAAGATTCTATAGCTTACCCTTGGCTGACCATGTTGTGTATCAGGACTACTGACCCATTCACCAGATGATAATCTTTCAACATGATCTTTATCTAATACACATAGAGAGGCTAGGGCTAACCATAGCTACAAAAAAAAAACACAAAAAGGGGTCTATTAGTAATTATCTTTGAAATCTTGTTCAACACTAGGGTCCAATACAAGGGTATAAATATGATTTGCTGTTTTAGAGAGTCACAAGGATGTTTGACACCGTTTGAAAATTGTTCATGTGACTTAAAAATACAGAGTGTGTCATTCATAACCTTATACTTCATTGCAGCCATCTCTGATACAATTGACTTTATCTTATTAGCAATCTGAACATTGAGAACTAGAACTTACTGTTGGTGTGGTGAGACAGATTTCAGGTGCTCTTAATTCTTCATCTAATTTAGTTAGGTTTAAAATAGCTTCAGCTATAGCAGCTTTAGTAACTACTGCCCATAGATCAGAAAATTTTCCCTATAATCAAAAGAAAAGTAAAATGAACTGTAGGAAATATAATAGTGTCTACAAGACATAATTGGCAGAAACCATGTTAATTTAATATAAAACACAATCAGTGAGGTTTATAGATGCCTGATAAAAAAAATTGACACAAAAGACAATTGATCACATTTGCACTTCATATTACATGTTCTTTTACAACAAAAAATATTGATCAGTTAAGGCTTTAAACAGAAACAATAAGACTGTAGCTCATCTATGATCTCTATCTCAGCCTAGCAGTAAATGAGTAGACCAATCAGAAAGGGCAATCAAAGATAACCAATGTTTAAATAATGACAAGAATGACTTACCGTGGCCATATCTTGTACTAGTTGTATAACACTATTAGCAAGTCCAGCTGACATTTCACCACGGAACCACCATCTTGAACTGAAAACATTAAAAGATTAAGACTTTTGGCCCAAGTTCTAGACCTTTTTTTGTTTGAGTTAAGGACCAGCAACATTAATTATGTGTGATTGTTGCATGTCAATGGAACAATTATGTTGGTGGTTGGGTTCATGTTGGCGGTAAGAGTCTAATTGGTTGTAGGGTCACTTTGGTGGAGTCATGCAGTTGTAAGGGTCATGTTTTATTGTTAAGATCTTGTTAAAATGTCCTATTTTGTACTAAATGCCTTGTTGGTTGAAATGATTAATCATATGGGTAGTAAGGGTGCTTACAGGAGTCATCAGGAGTAAAGATGTTCTATAAATCTGCTTTGTAAATGAAACAGCCCAATAAAATAAACTTACTATTTATCAGAAGCAATGTTTTCAGCTAAAGTATGAGTTGTAAGACCTTTACTGGGTCCTACTGTCTTGACTTTAGTCTGAACTGTTAATGCTTTACTAATACATGCTAAGAAAACATCCAATATTCCAGGGGTCTCTGGATCAAAGTCAGCATATCGTTCTTCGTCTCTGTTACCAGCTGATATAATACTATAGTCGACTGGTGGTAGAGCTGGTATTGAAAGTATACTAGCTAGAGCTTGAGGTTTAATATCGGGCAATACTCTTCTTAAAACAGATATAACCTACAAAAACAACATTATTTCAAACAGTTAAAAAAGCTAAAAAACTGATTGTTTTGGGGTTTTTTTTTTTCAACATGTGATTCGTCACCTTCACATCGGAAACAATACAATGCAAAGAATTGCTATTTAATCATAAATTCAAAGAACAGCTCTCAAACCAATACACGGATCTAGAAAGACAATTGATACAAAGCCACGTCCATGAATGATCCGAGCTTAAGAGAACTCTCCATTTTCTTTGGTCACATTCAGTCTAAAGTATTTATTTATTATGATAGATTGTTCTCTGGTCTTACCTGTCTCTGTATTCTAGGTGTAGCTGTATGTAATAAACTAAACAGAGCCTGTATCAAACCATGTTGTTGTGAGAGATAATTTCTTCCCACTGTTGATCCACTTAGAGCTAATACCATTGATAATAACTCAAAACAATATACATCAGAGGCTCTGAAACACAGATTTAAATGGCATAAAACAACCACACTCAATTAAGACAGGTGTAATGAAAAAAAATCATTTGTTTTATTCATTTTCAAGAGTAATCTTCAGCATAGAATACTATGCACAGGTTTATAGTCTAAATTATGCAACAAAACATAGACCTGCATCACTGAGATAATCATGAATAATGTGAAGGTACTATTACGAACCATATAAAGATTTAATCTTAGAAAGAAATTATTGGAGATACTGACCTATTTTCTTCTAGTTTGTCCTCTCTATTAGTAAGTGAATGTTCCCATTCTTCTCTTATTCTAGCTGTCTCTTTACGGAATCCTTGTACTATATGAGAACATACCTACAACATACCACAATCATAGTTTGCAATCAAATGGGTTTTAGGTGTTTTACAGTGTGAATACATATTTATAATCTGCCATATATAAAACACCTATTTTTTGAAGGTGAAGTTAAATATTCAGTCATATAAGATCAACACTCTATTTCTGGATACTATGAAAAATAATTTAAAAAAAACATTGACTGGTTAGATTCAATTTTGTACTTTTTTTTTTTATGATGTTTTGCCTTAAACCAACCTTAATCTGGTGGATAGTCCATACAATCAAAGCTTATAATATTCGTTGTAATGTCTAAAGATTTCTTACCTGTTTCTGTAGATGTGAGAATTTACTCCTACTAAATAATATTCCTACCATATGTTCTTTTAGATCATTATCACCATCTATAGCATCAGATTCTTGATCATTGAATATCAGTTTATCAAATACCTACAATATGTAGAAAATACTAGGGGGTTAGGTGATAGGTGAAAAATTCTTAAACATGAATATTCCTTGATTCTCATACCAATAGGAGTTGGTAATTCATCCAATGATACCACCGGTTGATTTATACCATTAACAGCACCAACATCTTTACACAATGTGGGAGTTTTTTGCCAGCCTATGCACCAAGGACTCTATGGTAAACAACCTGAACCACCTGGTCAATAATATCCAAGATACATACCTGTATCGCAGCATAATATATAATTCATATAAGTAAGATCATACCTGTGATGTCAAATTTCTAAACACACGAAGAGTTTCAGCTTCACAAAAATCTTGTTGAAGATCGAGTGCATTCTTTTTAACAGGTAGATTTATATCTTCATCTTCAATTGTACCTAGTATCTTAACTTGACGAACACGTAAACTCTGATCAGGTCCTTTAAGTTCAAGCTGTATATGACGGTAGTTAGAATCTGGTATAGAACAACAGATCCATCCAATATGGCGGCTTTCTAAATCAACCTATACATTATAAAAATTCAAAACTCAGACAATAGAAATTAGAGATTTTTAAGGAAACCAGACATGTTTCCCACAGAAACACACCCAAAAGTTATTCTCTATGCTAATTAATCAGGCAGTCAGTCATGTCACAAATGAAGATAAAAATATTCATCCATTTCATCTTCTTTTCCAAATTGTAAACTAACCATAAATGAAATTGAGAAACTAATAAAGTACCAGCAAGCTATTTGAGAATATCATATTTGTTATTTTTCACTGAAATGAATGATTAGTAAAGTACCAGTTTACTTACAGATTTAAGTTTATGAATATCTTCAACACCAACTCCAGCACTAAATGTAATGTTACCAACTTTATTCTACAACAATAACATTAAACACATATCACATAGAGATTACAACCTTCATTTCTGATGATAAAAATATAAAGGGAAATAGTTGACTTATATAGATGACACTGCTTTATATTCACATATTATTCATGTATTATTCACATATTTATCACTTTTTAGAAACAAAACACATATGCCACATTCCTATAGAAATAAGAAAAATCAGTATATCATTGACATCTGTCACATGCAGCTAGTTCTAATGACATTACAATAGCAATAATTTCAGTCAACTATTTATGAGTAAACCTCTGGATAAAAAAAACAACAGAAAATGAAAAGACAGAATGAAACAAACCTGAATATCTCTGGAGTTATCAATATGAACGTATATAGCATATGGTTCTGTTTTATTAGAACAATCTAATGTTAATGATTTCAATCTATTCCTGTCTTCTTCTCCACTCTCCCAAAATGTTTCTGTTGTATTATCTGCAATTATTAGAAAATAAACAATACTTTTTCTCATACAAGTCACCACGTTCTCGAGCTTTTTTATTCAGTTAAATTCAAATAATTCTTGCATTTATAAATTCACTTGTATCAGATCAAGTAAAAGTATCACAGTCTTAAAAATATTTGCTGTTATGCTGAGCTCAATTTTAATTACCGATGCCAGTTAACAAACATCAAAATGTGATGCCTGTTCTCTTACAGTAAAGCAGTAACATAGTATGGAAGATATATAACATATAATAATGAACTTACCATTTAAACTACCTATCATAGCTTGTCTACTGGAAGCCTTCATATCAGTTTGTGATGTAATATCTTTTAAACATGATACTCTGAAACCAACCTGTAACATTAACAAAAATTATCACATCCGCTAGGTATATGAGAAACTTAATTATCCCCCAAACTATACGTAAATAAAGATCTTAAATCTTGAAAGCCTTGCTCAATTTGGCACTAATCACATATTAGGTCTCAAGAACGATACCATATTAAGACTTGCTCCTGCTACTGTGAAATCAAAATATTTTTTTTGGTCATGGATTTGTTCCTAAAGTGTTTTGTTTCGCTATAATTTGTGATTTGTATTGTTTTCCCTGTAGCATTTTCATATATTATCATTTTATTTCTAGAATAAGAATCTATGGATTGGCCTTTGATGAATATCTATGCATGAAGAATATGTAATATTAAGAGTAAGTTCCAACCTGAACTTGAGAGAAATCTATACTATTATCATCATTGTCTTCCTCTGATCTAGTCAATATTCTAGATATATTACTAAATACATGACTCTCATGTAGAAACTGGTGGTCTGACTGTTGAAACTTGATAGAATAACAACATACTCCCATACGCTAAAATTATTTTAATATATAATAAAAATGTTCAATTCATTAACTTTTTTTCAGCTATGAGTTTAAATCCAATGACGTTATTTAAAACAAGCTTGAATCAAACTAACAATCAATAAGTAGCAAAGCAATACTAAAAGGCGACCCTTTAGTGATGCGTATCAATAGTTAGCAGAACTAGAAGTTGGATTTGCTAAGATCATAATATTAACTCATTTTTAAGCCAATTTTAATTTAAGTTGTCAATATAGACTGCATTTCTCTGACAATGTTTTAAATCACATCCCTAAAATTTTCTAAATATTTGGCATTACAATAAGGGGAGCAATCAACCTCAAAATATTACCTGTAGAGCAGAACCAGATGGTAGATGCATCATTATATCTGATATTGATTGTAAGAATGTATGAAATACTTCTGGTAAAGGTGCTACAGCTTTTCCTGCTAGTGCTATATCTTCTATTGGATGATCACAAAGTGGATTCTCCTACAGACACAAAAAAAAGCATTTAGACAAGAAGTCCATGAAAAGTACTTATATTAATCAAATTGCCTTTTTAACAAATGGGGACCATGTGTCACCCGTATTTAAGAAACCTTGTGAAGGAAGGGTCAGGATGAGCTGGAGACCATCAACATACCTCTTGATCTCTTTTCATCAAATTCTTCAGAGCTATTTCTCTGGGATCTTTTATTTCCTTTAGGTCCTTGTCTTTTCCTTCTTTCCCATCTTTATCTTCTTCTTCGTCCTCTTCAACAGGACTTGGCATCAAAGAAGCAACAAAGAACCACAGTAGATCATGGATACAAGATGGCTGAATAACACTTCTAAGTAACCAATTAAAAGCCTGAAAGAGGAATCAGTTACTTTATTAAAATCACAGAGTGAAAACCTCGTAGCCATCAAATCAAACAATCAGACAATAATGCTCATAATAAGTATTTCAATTACCTTCCTTAATTTCTAAATGTAATTCCAGAGGCATGAAGATTATGATGATAAATGTATTCAGGCATTTCCTCAGTAGAAGCTATGCCATATTGTTCAGGAGATGTATGACCATCTATGACAACTTAACTTAAGATTTAAGACATATTTTTAAAAGTCAAATCCCTGTAGATATCAAAATGTAAAAACAAAAAACCATACATACCTGCAAAGCGAAAACTCTACAAGCTGCCTTACGTAAGGCCTGTCTCATTGCCCATTGTAAACCATCTAAATCATGTCTCTGGATAATAAAGTCTAATACTGGACGTCTAAGTCTCATCTCACCGAAATCAGTGGTACTGTCTAGAGATAATATCAGTTTAGTCATGGCTGCTGATGGGTGTTTCAGTAAAGACATACCTCCATCTGGAATAAACAAAAGTAAATAAAATACGTCTCTTACATTCAAAGGCATTCGATCCAAAAATCATAGAGGCACAGAGTATATCTGCTTCCAAAAAGCCCTAAACTCTCTTCTTCAGATATATTGAGCAATAACCTACCTCCAACACCACCACTGTTGTTCCTACGTCGAGGTGTAACCATACGATTCCTCTCATGATTGGCACCATTTTCATCATCTGTTGACATCTCTGATATACTCCGATGGAATATCTTCTTCCCTGCTTCAGAATCAGGACTGGTGCCAGCTGATTTTGGTTGTGGTGAATGGCCTGGAGTTTTCAGATTAGACATGTCTTGGAATAGCTGGAACGAAAAAAAAAAAGGATAGATGTTTTAATATAACATGAATTAATCCTGATGAAGATAGCATGCCATACAAAGTAACATACATCATATTGTGTTTAAAATAAATAAAATAATCTAGTCTAGTCTGAGATCTCATCAATGTCAACTTCCCAGAAATAAAGAAAAAAGGAATAGTTATCTACCTTGGCAACAGGAGGATTAATCTGTGAATAAGGACGAACATCTTGTCCTAAAGACCCTGATCTAGCTAAAGGACTATGGCGTGGTTCAGTAGGCAGACGTGGGCGGTATGCTGTTTGTTTGGGTGCTATACTCAGAGATCCGGATCTAACAAATACTCTCTCTTCATCATCAATAAAAATATCTTCTGCAAAAGCTGTATCAGCATTCTGAGCTCCTTGTTGGATCAGATATTGACAAGGAATTGGTGGAAACGGTTCTGATTCTGTACTCAAATTTTCACTGACACTCGGCAAGTATATATCACTGCGACTATGACCATTCTTCTTGATATTTTTTGGAAGAGTAAATCCACTAGCACTTGCTAAATCCAGGAGGAACATGGCATTGTTCTTTAACACTGTGTGAACATCCAAATGAGTAACAAGAGTTGAAGTGGGTTTCATAACAGTTGTCTTTTTCTTCACTTTCTTGGTTTTTTCTCTCTCTTTCTCTTTCTGTGACTGTCTTTTTTCTTTTAAATATTTGTCACGACATTGGTCACACATCAAATACCAACTACTTCCTCCTATGCCTCCTTCCCCACAATTACCAGCCCAACCCCCACAGAAATTTCCACCACTATTGTAACCCTTTCCACATGCATGGCGTCCACAGCCAGGATGAGCTTGTCTCATGTGGTAAGTAACTGGATGGCTAAATGAGAAATCACAAAGCTCACACACAGATTCTTTTTCCCCTCCTCCTCCATTCCCAGGGCCTTGAGCTCCAAACAATCTAGCTACATCTTCTCCAAACATTCCCTTTCCTCGAGCTTTACCTTCCTTTCTCTTCTTACTCTTACTCTCCTTATCCTTGTTCCTGTCCTTCTTTTCCACTACTTTCTTTTCTCGATTCATCAGAGCTGGACTAGGGACTACTATATCCTGCTTCACCACCTTCAAAACAGCTCCAGCTAAATCTTCCCAGAAATACACCAGATGTTGAAGTGTAGGTGGAAGCTGGGAATCATCAGAAATATCTTCTTTCTTTGGAGAAGATGCTGCAGCAATAGCTTTTAGATCTGCTAAGACCTGGCATCCCTCTGACTTGTGTTTTTCCAATCTAAATTTAGAATGATAAGGAGTTCTATCTCCATACTGTAACAGATTTTCATTCTCTGAAGCTGTAAACTGAGGATCAAGATTAAACCTCACACGACTCTCATTGATATTCTCCTTCTTTCTCTCTTTCTTATCTTTACTGGAATCAGTCAAATGTCTAGTCCTTGGCTTCTCTTCCTTCTTGATTTTAGTCTTAGACATTTCTTTTGAAAGGTCAGGATGGAATTTCAAACAGGATGCACAAGCCATGGCATCATGGACAATACCTTCATGCCACATGAATGCAGCAAAAACAGCCCTCATACATTCAGCTACAGATGGGGAAAGAGCTTCATGGACTGGTTCTCGTAGCTGATCATGAATAATAGATGCTGATGAAGAAGCTTGACCTCTGTTTATACCAACTGGTGTGGTATCTCTTGGAGATGGTGAAGCAGCTCTTTCACGTTTTGACCTTAATTGTCTTCCTCTATCTTTCCTTGCTGCCTTTGGAGACAGCCTACAAAAATAATTAATGAATCCAACTCAGTCTCACTTGAAAGCATTCAAACACTGTAGGCATCCAAAGTTTAACAGCTATATAACTGTTCTATTAGATTCAACTTCTGTTCTAATATTTCTAACTGTTCCATTGTTCAAAGACATAAACAAATAATTTGTAATTTTAATTGTACAATCCACAGAACAAGAACCAATGTAGCTAAATGATGGAATTTAATAAACTAATTCTTACCTAACAGGATCATCAGTACCAATATTAAATGTACCAGGAATTGATGGACTATTTGACCTTGAACTTGAAGCAGAGAGCTGTTTTGGACTTCTACTTCTTGTTCTATGAGGACTAAAAGTACAATAAATTGTGGATACTATATTCAATCAAAGGTACTTATGCAAGTTAGAGGAACATTGAAAGCACATCAAGCGGGCTGTCCAACACTCATTGACACTAATTGGCTAAAATTACAAAATTTTAGGGCTAAAAAATTAGGAAATTTATAACTAAATTCAGGCAGTTTCAGATATTTAAATGGATTACAATTACACATTTGACACTTCAGAAACTTACAAAAATACTTGAGCGCAGCCCACATCAAGTGGTAATTGAAATCTACATGAAGTATCTCAAACCTGTAGAATTATCCCAAGAAAGATATCTAGATCATATCATAATTTCGACAATTTCAATATGTCATTACGACACAATTTAGTACCTTCATTTCTATTGGTTATCCTCAGTGCTTGTTTTGTCAAGACATTGAATGATATTATTTCACTGAACTCAAACAGATGACCAAAATAAACAACTTCTTACTTCTTACCTTACTGTTTTGGGAATAGCAGTAAATTTAACACTGGGTGATCCTGTCTGAACACCATCTACACTGGAGCCTTTATCATCAGGTCTTAATAAACCAGACCCAATCGAACTTGAATCTTTACTATCTTCGTCCTTTCTTATACTTTTCTTTACAGATGGAGGACTGGCTGATGGAGATTTGGATATTCTGCAAAAACACATATGGATCAAATTTAACTGATATAACTTGAAATGATTTACATATTCATGAAATATTATGTATGCTTCTTTGTTTCATCAAAACAATCCACTTTAAGATTATTAGAGATAATACTTTATGTTTTACCTGACAAAAAGGTTCACCTAAATTTGAATGTATCACTTTGCCAAAGTATTTACCTTTCAAAGGAATCTTCTCTGTGTAATTTAGGTTTATTAACTTTTATTGGTAGAGGTGAGGATGGTGGTGTTTTAAATGTTTCTTCTTTACCAGTACTTTCCCCTCTTACTGATGGTGACTGTGATCTAGTAGATCCCCCTATATCAACAAATAGACAACAGAATTACTTTTTACATTCAATGTCACCTTGTATTATTAAAAGGGCCTGATTGACAAATTTTATGTCAAATGATTTGAACTGCTATATCATGATAACAGATAGATTTTAGTGTTAAAAGGAAACTCAGTTGGTCAATTAACAATCACTTCTAAGAGTTCATAGTGTTATCTTAATATATTTATTTCTATTATATGACTATACGAACCCGAATCAGTTTTGAGTTTAGGACTAGAACTTCTTGATGATACTTTAGGTGAACCAGGTGGTGATGGATTAGGTGTTGGTCCATTTCCATTGAATCTACTCTCACCTACATAAATTAACAATATCATAATAGATATGATGACAGGTAATATGGTGCTTAAAATTATGGAAAATATACTTCCACAAGAGTTCCTTTCAAATTTGGATAGGAAATATGGCATACATAGTTATACCCTCAGTACAGTTAAGAATTATTTATATTATTAGTCCTAAAGTAAAAAAAAAAGGTCAGAGTTTAGTCCTCAGCTTCAGGCCATAGACCAAATTTTCAAATCGCACCCAACTGCTATTTTTATCTCATCTCAAACTCTTCTGAGATTTATAACCGATGTATACAAACTGAGTTAGTTTGAAATTCATCCAAAACATCGACAACTAGAAATCGAGTCAGAGCAAAATAAACCCACATTAAAATGTAGGGTGCATAAAAATCCAAAACAAAACTATAAAAATCTATTCATTCATCTATATTTACTTTTAACAAATTGAAACAATTTCATAGACTAGATTAAGTGAGATGTTTATGTGATAGTGACAAACAAACAAACATGCAGAAATATGTACACTTAATTACGAGGTACATCAAATATATGATAGGATAGCAAATGGAAAGTTTATTTTTCAGAAAAACATCATTATATAAAACAATCATTGACAAATTAAGATTTCAAAATAAAGTTGGATACAGCCTGACATCTAGGTCTTACCACTAAAGGAATAAAGCTGCTTTGGACTGACTGTTCGAATTTTATACTCAAATTTCCCCTTTTTCTTGTTTCTGCCATCCAATGAATTCCAACAGTCAGTGCCATCTCTTTCATGTGATACTGGGAGTAAGCATGGAGGGAGAACAGCAAAATAATATGGTGAAGCCAATTAAAATTCAAGATTACATGCAAGCATGAGGCAATGAAGTTTCATCAGAAAAATTTAAACCAATCAATCAAATATTTTATATACTGTTAGTAATAAAAAGTTAATTCACCTGTGATGAGCACACTTCAAAAACATAGTAATTAATTCTCAATAAAGGTAACAAAATGTGCAAGGGATAACACAAATTCGCAAATTTAGAAAAAAGAGAAAAAGAAATACATGTTCTTCTTACCCAAAGCTTTGACTAGTTCTTTCACAGCCACACCTTGTAATTCCTTTGGAATATTCTCCATACCAGTTGCCAACATTCTGAATCTAGCTGTATCAATACCATGTTTATCTTTCACAGACGGCATTGAAGCTCTTCTCACAACCATAGGTGAACTGGTCACTGGTCCAGCACCTGATTCTGGTTTCGTTAGAAGACCCTGGGAACCAGTGTATTCAACTCCTGCTCCTGCAGCAGCTAGACCTCTATTAGAAGAGAATGGACTTGAGGAAGATGTACCAGCTCCAGAAAATGGACCAAAAGATGTTGGAGATCCTCCTGATGCACCTACTGCAAAAAAGAAGATTTCGAAATGTTTAAATTCACACCATGATGGTAATGATGGGGATCATAAGGGTGAAATTTGAAACCAAAATGCCCTGGCCTGATGTGAGCTAATTAATCCATATATAAATCACAAATTGCTCTAAAAAATGTGCTCCATTCATTGTTGAGCACCTAAGGTCACTTCATTTTAAATCATATATTATATACAGTTTAATAATCCATGATCCATGATCACCACAATAAGAAAACATTTAGTTACCTAAATGTCCAAAAGCAAATCCACTGGCAGGTAAACTCTTCGTTTTTCCAACATCTAAAATAAAAAAGTAAAGATATTGATGCAGATCTAGAATTAAAATTTTGTGGATTAATTTTCTTTACTTTATTCTCTTGCATTATCTAAAGAACAACAGGGCTTCAATATAAACAAAATAATGGAGGTGTTCAAGAAGGTAGTCTTTATTAAACAGATTGATAATGCCTTCTGCTTCAATAAACTCTAGTTAATCAATTGTCCAGTCAAGATTCAACCTACTTCCTAATCTGGTACCAAATCCACCAAAAGCTGCACCTTGAGCTGCAGAAAAATCAAAACCCCTCTGTACAGTTTGTGGTAAAGTATTAAAGGAGAATGGATCACTATCAGCTATATCAGACTCATGTTGTAGGAAAGCTGTACCACTGACATTACACACCAGAGACCAGGCTTCAGACTCCTTATTAAAACAGTAATTATCTTTACTCTCTGGATCTAATTTTACCCACACTCCATCCTGGTTAATTACCTAAAATTTAATCAAACACCGATTAAAGGGCAAGGAAATTAAGGTCTCACATACAACACATGTTACTGGTAGCTCACTTCCAATATAAACCAGCAGTCAAATATAGCATAAGTATCTTCAGTATCTTAAATTTTAATCCTTTCCTTTCTAAACAGGAAAACAAAATATTAGAGAACTTACTTCATCAATAGCTACAAGTTTTTCTCCTAAAGTTACCATACCAATGGCAGTTGCTTTCAGATTAGGTCTGGTTCTTATATTATGTCCATAGGATCCACAATTAATACATTGATATACTCCAGGACCTTAAAAAATAGACTATAAATAAAACTAAATGTTTCTATAGAAACCAGTTAGGTTAATTTCAGATAAATAAAAGTTATTTTAACAAAGGAATTAGTCTACTCTTGTTTGCTTTCAACATCATGAAAGAGTAATGTGCCTTTGATTATTGTCTCATCTGACAAACAAATTCTATATCAGCTTAAATAAGCAAGAAAAAACATTGCTATGAAACTGCCATAAAAAGACATCTGGAACAATCTTATTCAAATATATTTTTGTACCTCTGGGTCCTTTGGTAGGTTTTGATCTCGGCTCAGTGTATTCCCTTATCATTGGTTCTTTCATATCTAATACAGATTTAGGTTCATCAACAGGAACTAGTAATGTCTTCCCTAAATGTTGGTTATATTGTACACACCAGGCCTCTACATACCCATTATCACACCAATCTTTGATACTGTCAGGACTCAATCTTACCCATACTCCATCATCATTGTGGATCTAAATATAAGTATGTCGATGGTATATTATGTCAGAAGACAGCAAACTGGTTAGATTAATGTACACTCCCTCTACCTCTCAAACCCAATCATCAGGGAAAAAGGTTTGAAAAGCCTTAACATCTTAACATTGGCCAGAAAAAAAAAACCTGTGTCTTTTGAGTATCTATTCTAATATGGTTAGAGTCCTAAAATTTTACACTTGTCAAAAGAGACTAATCATGGAGACAAAAAAAAACTAAATTTACATCTTTAATATCTGTAACACCAACATGTAAAATTTCAACATACCTCATCAATAAAAGAAATGATTCCATCAGGTTTGATTACACCACATTGTTCTGACTGTAAAGTTGGATGTATTCTTATTCTTAATCCAGCACTGTATTTAGCTACAAATTTACGCATCTATAAGAGAGAAATAAAAAGTAAAATTAGGACTATACCTTTCCTTTATCCAAAGCACAACAACCCTTAATAACTTGCTTAATCATTTATACAGAATATTGTAAATGGATGCTTACACTACTAAATTAAAAATGAAATGAAATGAATGGAGTTTTACGTCCTACTTTTCTGCACCATGTGGGCTAATGAAGACGGGCAACGCCATGCAGGGTGCAATGAGGGAAATTTTGCCAGGACAGCGGCATAAGCCTGCTCGTGTTCGATTTCCAACTGTCGAGGTATCTTTAACGTGCACAGCCTGTAGCACATGGGGCCTCGGTTTATTGCCCCATCCGAAAGGACTAGACGCTTTTTCCATGTCAGCCCCTCTTACTACCAAATTAAAGCAGTGAGATAATCTTAGTGTGCTTGCCCTAGTAGGATGATGGTGTGATAATAAATTCAGTGTGCTTATCCTACTAGGATGATGGTGTGATAATAAATTCAGTGTGCTTATCCTACTAGGATGATGGTGTGATAATAAATTCAGTGTGCTTATCCTACTAGGATGATGATGTGATGATAAATTGAGTGCGCTTACCATACTAGGATGATGGTGTGATAATAAATTGAGTGTGCTTTTCCTTCTAGGATGATGGTGTGATAATAAATTCAGTTTGCTTACTCTACTAGGATGATGGTGTGATAATAAATTCAGTGTGCTTACCCTACTAGCATGATGGTGTGACAATAAATTCAGTGTGCTGACCCTATTCAGATGATGGTGTGATAATAAATTCAGTGTGCTTATCCTACTAGGATGATAATGTGATGATAAATTCAGTGTGCTGACCCTATTAGGATGATGGTGTGATAATAAATTCAGTGTGCTTATCCTACTAGGATGATGGTGTGATAATAAATTCAGTGTGCTTATCCTACTAGGATGATGATGTGATGATAAATTGAGTGTGCTTACCCTACTAGGATGATGATGTGATGATAAATTGAGTGTGCTTACCCTACTAGGATGATGATGTGATGATAAATTGAGTGTGCTTACCCTACTAGGATGATGGTGTGATGATAAATTGAGTGTGCTTACCCTACTAGGATGATGATGTGATGATAAATTGAGTGTGCTTACCCTACTAGGATGATGGTGTGATAATAAATTCAGTGTGCTGACCCTATTAGGATGATGATGTGATGATAAATTCAGTGTGCTTATCCTACTAGGATGATGATGTGATGATAAATTGAGTGTGCTTACCCTACTAGGATTATGATGTGATGATAAATTGAGTGTGCTTACCCTACTAGGATGATGATGTGATGATAAATTGAGTGTGCTTACCCTACTAGGTTGATGGTGCTTCTTAATGCTTTGAGGTGGTGGTGTTACACCTTGAGGTGGTTCTTTAACTTCAACCTTATACACATCTCCTGTAAATATAAAATAATATGTTGAAAGGTCTCAAGTAAGTCATTACATTCAATATTCTGTGTATAATTTCTAAGTGACATTTAGGGATAGAGATCACATTAAATAATGTTCAAAGTGTTTCAACAATTTATATTGGCAGATTTGAACCTACCTGTTTCAAAGCCATCAATTGTAACATGTATATTATAAAAGCCAACACAGCCTGGTGTCCAATTAGCACTATAAGTACCATCTAGATTAGCCCTGACTAACATATTCTCACTAGGTCTAGGTACAGCTGGTGCAGCAAATCTTAGCTCTTCAAATGAATAGTTTTCATAGCACTAAAATAGAGAGAGAAACATGACTACCCTAAAGAACAAAGGTTTGATTTTAAATCTGTAACTGGACCTTTTTTCAGAGAAATCACATAGTTAGCAAAATCATTGCGTTACTAAATCAGAAATATATGTGACTAACTTAACAAAGTACGATAGCTAAAGAAGGAAAGTCAATTACCTTCATCATAGTAATAGAATGGAAGATATCCCTCCTATCTTTAACCACTGGTTCATATGGTACATCTAGTACTGGAGTGGGTAAACCACCAAATGTCAGGTCCCCATCATCAGGTCTACTTAACCTTCTCATCTTCTTACTGTCATCACCTAATCCATCTTTCATATCTACTGGTACTGCTTTTACTTCCACCTGCACAAACGAATATATAGATAATGACATTTACCTTATAGCTAATTTGCTCTTAAGAGTCCAATCTTCAGAACCTTAGCCAGCTAGTGATAGACTAGCATTGTGCACTAGGCGAGACATCTTTATCGAAGAGTGAAATGGTGGTAATAAATCAAGAAATGACTATACTTGATCATTCAAATTCTGTATTAAAGTTAAAATTCTGTATTAAAATTCTGTATTAAAGTGAAAATTCTGTATTAAAGTAAAAATTCTGTATTAAAATTCTGTATTAAAGTTATAACTCTGTATCAAAGTTATAATTCTGTATTAAAGTTATAATTCTGTATTAAAGTTATAATTCTGTATTAAAGTAATAATTCCATATTAAAGTTATAAAAATGTATTAAAGATATAAATTCAAATAATAAAAAGTACAAACCTTTAGATTAGGTACATTAACTAACTGTCCATACTGATCTTTATTCATTATAGTTATCACAGCTGGCCAACTGCATTTTAGTTCTTCTTTATTACACACTATTTCACATTGTTTAGGATCTAGATAGGAATCAGGCTGTAACCATCTGAAAGAGTTAAGTTTATATAGTTGTGCAATTATTCAATTATTCAATTTACCAGATGATAAAGCCCAATTTTACGTAGGCATTACAGGTTTTATAAATATTATTTGAAATAGGATAAAATATTGCTTTAATTCAAAGAAGTTTTGCTATTTCGATTACATATAAATGATACAGAAAATTACCTAGAATTAACATTTCAAAAATATTAACAGATAGTAGGTCCCCCTTGTTTCTTAAAAAAAATCTAACGCTATTAAGTTTCATTCCTCAGAAGCTATAAACAGCCAACCCCAAAAATATATACCCTAGCTTTCTCTTGACTATACCTTGCTAATCTTCCTCCACTAGTACCAGGAGTACAAGCAACAAAATCTTTCAGGAATGCTCTTTCATTAGATTGCCAACAGAATGGTAGATTCCCTTCTAAAGCTTGCATGATAGTTGGTGGCTGAGACAATGCAAATCCTTTGTCTAGTAAACTTGAATGTTCATTGAAGACCTGAAAAAATTTCATCTTGTGCAGACAAGATCAAGCAACGTCATGTGAAGCATTTCTTTAGTACAGTGATTCTAACTCCCAAATTTCAGATTTCTAGCTAACAAGGCATATTGTTTTCCAAATCAGCTTTCATCATCAGCATCATTGATCACAACATTTCAAAACATAATCTGTAGCAAACAGAAGTGTAAGAGTGCACAGTCTAGAATACTTACTAATTGTGCACCAATTTCAATACTTTCCAGCTCTTCTTCTGTTTCCTCTACAGATAATGGTGGTAGGAGGATATCTTTTTTCATCAGAGCAGAGGAACACATACCACCTAAATAGGTCAGTTCTTTCTCCAATTGTAGTATACTCTATTAATAACACATACAAAGTATTAAATATTTACTATATTCCAATATTATACAAACCATTAAATATACACAAATTTAATAACTATTACAAATGAACTAAGTATTGGCAATTCTAAATAGAAAGAGGATATTATATATTTTTGGAATAAGTTAAGGTTGACATCACTCACCTCTTCTGCTTTATTGTTCCACTCATACCCAATAACAGTACATTTGAACCCATAAAAACTGGCTTTTTCATCTTTGACATAGTCTGAGGCTGTTTCCAGTGAAAATAACAATTCATGGCCTAAAGAAATCATTTATACATATAAAACCAACTTTTCTTAACCTTATCTGTCAAAAGTTTGTTAAATAGTTTATATAACTATGTTGAGCTCTATAAGCTGGTAAATCAAATATTAAGAAATCAATATCAATCTTACCTGGTAATATAACAGCTTGTTTGGGCCAATTGCTTGTACCAGAAAACTTCTTTAACAACGGCCAATATGATGGTTTACTAGACTGATCGTCCTGATTTTTAGTTGAGATTGTCAAGTCTTTAGATCCTAAACTAGTTGGTACCGAGAGCTGTAATGAATCTTCTGGTTGAGCTGTTGAACATTGGTTATCAAACTCTATTGCTATCCAACGCACTGATGGAGGAAACTCAACCTGTAATATAATGGAATTCCACAATGTAAACTAGCAACTAACAACTAAATGTATGTCCAAGGTAATTTTAACTTGAGGAACAAAGCAAGCTGCTAAATGAAATGATTTGTACTACACTTTTGAAAACTTGTAACATAAAAGATGATGAAAACACAGCCTAACTTTTCCAAGATATTCACAGCACAAATATACACAGTCTTACATCATCAAAATCAGATACAAATCGACCTTACCTTATAGTTAGCTACAGAAGCAGGTTTATAAGGATGATCACTCTGAACTATAGCGTAATGTTGAGATGTTGTTGTTGTGCCCTGGTCTGTCATTGACGAATCAAATGTAGAGGATGAATTTATCATGGGATTCACAAACTGTTTAGTTATTGTGGCTACAGCTGGTAAGATATCTTGTATCATGTATAAAACTTGAACTGCTCCCTGAAATCAGTAATAATATATAAATAAACTTGAGTTTTTGAAAACATGTGGCTTCACCTAACTCTGGGCTATATATTAAACTGTAACTGTAACTGTAACTGTAAAATGTTATGAAATAAAATGTCCGAAATATCAAGTTAACAGTTAAAAGCAATAATGCACCTATAGTGCCTTAAGATGTGTCCTATTACCATGTTTTGACGTAATGTTGTTTGATAGCACATGGGCTGTTATTTGCTATAATTATTTCCTAACACTGGCTAAGCTACAGTTCTTTGTAAAAATGGGCTGACACTGTAATACATCATTTCAGAATTACATGAATTTCCTGAATTTTAAAAATACATACTCTAGGATCTTGTGAAGCTACAGGTCCAACATAGGCTAATGTTAAAGGTAATAATGACGAAAAAAGATGGGATTTTCCTAAAATTTCTCCCACATCATCACCTGAAATATAACAATCAAATTATTCTTTAAAATCTCACTTCTGATATATTCATTACAGGTTTGACACAATGTTATAACGGAATCAAATGAGATATCAGTGTTCTAGTTAAAGAAAAATCATATGCAAACCATACATTTTATTGCATCTGTGAGCCAATTTCGATGTAAATGGTACTAAACTGGTGCTGACACTGATAGAATTCACCAATATATAAAAATCACCAATATACACACCTGATAAACCAGTAGCTCTATGTAATAAATCAGTAGCTATAATACAGATAGCACCAGTAATATCAATAGCATTCTTACGAGCCTGCAACTCAGCCAAATTCTTACTACTCTGTTGATGATTTTCACCCTCTTGTGGAGCACTGCAATTATAATACTGATTATTTCTCTGTCTGCTTCAATATGCCTCTTTAAAGGAATTATGCTCTCTGTATATTTCTTTTACTTGTTGATAAAGCTAAGGCATTGATATCACTTTTAAGGATTAAAATATATTTTGTCTAGTTCAACAAAAATGTACCCTTAAAGATTAGACTATTCACTTCAAGGTCATTATTTTCATTCCCATGGACAGATGACCCATGGTAAGGCAAATATCAGGGACCTATATTCCTTCAATATGAAAAAGTTTATTGGTATGTTTAGAATATTAGTTTGACCAACCTGTAGTATAAAATCTGTGGTATTTGACCTCTCATATGATTACTACCATTACTACTCAATGAACATGCTGTAAAGGTGAAGGTCGTTCCATCTGAACACTTGACCTTGTTCATACCACCATCTCCATTTAGTGTTCGTGAACCATGATTCTTAATCTTTATAGCATATTTCACTCCTTCCTTTAATCATAAAGAATTATAGTAGTTCATTACCAGATTACTGATCTAAGAAATCTATTTTAGTAAACAGATAATACAATTTGAACAGAATTTTTCGTGACTTTAGTGCCAAGAACATGACCTAAAATTCTGGAAGTTGCTGTAAGCTAAATCAGTTAAAATACTACATCCACGTTCTTTACTATTAAGATACAATTGAAAACACAAAACTTCATCAATCAAATTGTACAAATTCTTGATGGATCTGCCTCATTTCTGCATATATGAGGTACATGGTATCCCAGTGGCATCCTGAAAGAAAGTGGATACTGTTCTCACCTTGATAGGTACAGGTCTATCAAATCTTATCTCTGCTATATCATTAACACAATCTTCAGGACCATAGGTACCTTTCACCTGTTCTACTGTATTCCATCTCTGGGTATGAGATAGATCAGATCCTCCACCTTCTGATTGTTGCTGAAAAGAAATGATTTCATTTGCATTTGTTTTGTATTGTTTTTTACTTGGAAATTGGTACATTGACAAAATGGAGTTTTACAAGCAGTGTGCAATGAGAGAAATTGCAGGATAAGTAGCTCAAATAAGCCTGTGCAATTTTGATCTCCTACTGCCAAGAGTTTGTTAACAGTCTGTACCAGATTTCATTCCTTTGTATATCAATGTACCATGCTGTGAGACACACCCTATTCTGGAGTTGACTGAACCTTAAAGCTCTGAAATAAGAGTTCACCAGCAACAAAAAAATCATTTTTGTCACAAAATCTTCTACATACCTCATCAAGCAGTTCCACTTCATAAGTATAACTTCCTCCTCCTCCATATACACATACACCAGCTATCAAAATACCAGACCGGTCAACACTAAATGCTACAGCATCAGGACTACCATTACCAGTATTCCAGAATGGAGCATTACTAGTTCTAGTAAATCTATTAGGTGTTACTAACAATGGACGTGAGGATGTTGATAGATCAGCCTGCAACAGAAAATCAAATTACTTCACAACAGAGAACGTTTATAAGCAGAACTGCAGAGTGTATATTATGATCTTAATGTTCAAGGAAATGTTTTTTGTTAAAATAAGATTGTAAATTTTACACATGAGAAAAGTTGGCATTTATCTTGTTTTGGTTATTGTCTTCCAAAGCACACTTCCGGAAATGGGACTGGGATTCATTTTATCAAAAGAGCTTTGCATGTTGAAGTGATCTTTTGCATATGATATCATGAGCATCTATTTTTCATCCCTGCTATTTAAGGGAGACATGGTAGAGAGTCACACTGAGTGACACCAAGTGTTTTTAAAATTGGAGAAATACTCACTGTTTCAAAGCCAGTGGCTGATGCTGCTAATTCACTGATTATAGTTGACAACAGAGCACAAGTATTGGCTACTAAGGATTGTGGGAAATTATAGTCCTCTTTATTTAATGCCAGACGTACAGGGAAAGCAACAATCATTAACAACCTATCAAGCACTTCTTTAAATGAAATGTGACATCCACCTCCAATACTGTCAATCTGAAAAACAAAGAAAAGATAGTGAAATGAGTTTTAGTATTGAACAGTTCTGCATTCTTTTTGGGCTAAAGACAGATAATATCATGCTATATGTAATGAAGGACTGTTTCAGGCGTTTTTCTGCTATAGTCATATAAGAAAAGTAATATAAGGAAGTATCTATACTAAGAATGGTAACCAACGTACCTCCATTCTATAAGTCATATGACTAGCTAATACAGGATATTTATGCATCTCTCCCATACGAGCAGCACTATTCGTATTATCATCCATACAGGTTGAATGTCGTCTGAGAATCTCTTCTGCTTCTGGTTCACAATTGATAGGCATAATGTTGGTTAGTTTGATAGCTGGATGGCACATAGCTTCCATGACAGCTGCTAGCAGTCGGCCAACACCTCCAGCATTTGGTAAATTCTATAAAGCAGAGCATCTTCATTTTTGATATATCAGTTAAATTAGATTGAAAGTGAGATTTGGAGAATTTTGGCAACATTGATTTGAAATTGTGCAAAAATAATACTACGTCTTAGAATGAACATAAAATCTAATAATTTTAAACTTGGCCAATAAGAGCATATATTCATCAGTAGATATACCTGGTGTCATAAATAACATAATCCGATAAGTCTAAAAAACTTAGTAACTATGCAATTAACCATTGTAAAATCGCGTTTTTCTATAATTACTTAGTTTTATGAATTTTCCAATTTTCTAGATTTTAAAGGAATTTTGTTGTAATTTTATGACACCAGGTAAGTTCACTGCTGAATATATACTCATATTGACCATTCTTGAGAACTTAAGTTATATATTCATTCTAAGATGTAGTATCACTTTAATACAGTAATAAAACTCCTGTGATCTTCTCTGGTTTCTTTGGAATTTAACAATCTCTGATAATAGCAGTTTGTGACATTAGAAGATTAATATGCACTTTCTCAACAAAAGATACATTCAATTTATGCAATCATATATATAATAATATAAACATGCATTAAGTAATGATGAATTTCATTTGCAAGATTATTTTGTGGAGGGACAGTTATAACATTTCTTTAAAAAATATTTTCAAAGATCAGTTATATAATAGAATCAAACAAGTTTAGTAGATATAAGAATGATCAATGCATCAAAATCTAGACATAATGATGCTTAGTAAAACTTTTTATAGGTAATACAACAGACCGAAACATCTGTCTCTATTCCAACCTCTGATAGCATTTTTGAAAGTTGTCGGCTTGTGTAGAAACCTGTTTTGTGTGATTTTTCCATACCTCCAAGGTTTAATTTAATTTAAATCAGATCCGCCAAGCCCAGATATATTTGTGAAGATGGATATTTTTGTAGTCTAGTCATAGCAAAACCCTACACAATTTATGTCATGTCACCGGTTCCATCAAAGTCATTTTTAAGGAAACTGATCTCTCATCGGACAATTAAAATTGTGTGCGCAAACCAAAAATGCTTGAATCACAGAGTAATGTGACACTGACAAAACGAAAGTTTTACTGATGCCCAATATTAATTTAGTCAAAATAAAGGGCATTTAATATTATGTTAGAAAAAAAAACGCATCTTCATAGGTTTGGAATATCCCCATAAAACAGGGTCTAGTTTTTCTGATTCCAGCCAATAACTATCAAAATATCTATCAGGGGACTATACAATAGAGTAAAGGGATATAATCCGATTAATATTATTTTATGGAACCTTTCCTGACATTTTCATAATGATTTTCTGATGTCTACAGTACTATATTCCTTTACTAAATGAAAAGGATAAGGTTCATATAAGTAAGCAAGAGCTCTTTTCTAATGAGATATTTTTTGAAAAATGATACAAAGAAATAAAAAAAAGTATTGCTTTAAAAAAGATTAAACCCTTTACCAATAACTACTAGGATTATCAGGACTTCTTTTACACCTCACACATTTTGACCCATTAGAACGTTATTAGGCTCATCAATACATTATGTAAACAGTAAAATTAAATCAAATAGTAATGTCCATTTGTCTACTCCCATCTCAATTTTAGATATGAGAGTTTTGTTTTTTCATCAGTGATTAGAGCTATATCACTGACATGAAAACTACTTTGAAAAATCCAACAGCATCTGAATTGATTTCTGGCTTCACAGCAACATAACATGTGGCAATTATAGCCAATAGATATCAAATACCGGTACTTAATATTTTTCTATTTCTAGGCATACACACCTTTTTATCTGTTTTTTTCTCAAGAATCTACAAATGATGAAACAATAAGACTGGGGTTAGTGGATTGACGTATAGGATTACAAAAATATTACAGTAAAAAATAATTATTTATATTGAACAAGATACTACAGGCAAGCAATATCTGTCAAATTGTCAACAACATTGGCCATGATCCATAAATACCTATCAAAGATGCAAAAATAAAAAAATTGAAAAGAAAGCAATATTAAGCAAATGAGAGAAGTTTGCAGACATTTTGCTCAAGATTTGAAAAATAACAAAGCTTCTACTACTAATACTCACATGCTATATGAAAAAATTATATGAAAAATTATGAGATTCATGAAATTGAAAGAAAATGCTCTGAAGACATACAGCATGATAACTGTATTCATTTACGTAATTTCATGTTACTAAGTGAAAAGTGCCATGGGTAGCTAAAATTAATTTCTGACTTTTGACTGGTTAAGCAAATTGCTTTCAGATTTAAATGCTAAAATACCAAATTTTTTATAATAAATCAGTACATTCTCTTTCAATATAGATGATTTAACTGTGTATGAAATGATGATAAGAGAAAATGAATTGTCTTAACAATCTGATTATAATACATGTTCAAAATTTTATTTTCTCTGAAGATGACATTATCAGTTTTCAAATAACAACAACAAATTAAATGCTCAAATCAGAAAAAGCCTTTCAATTAAATGCATTTTGTCATTAGACTCTTATTCAAAGTATAAACTACACAGTTTTGGAATGAGTTAGACAGCCTGCTAAAATAAAACAAAATATCAAGAGATGAATTTTAATCAGACTGTGTTATATGACAATAAAAAAACTAAACTATAATTAGAAAGTGGCAACTTACAGGATCTGTTCTACACAATAAATCACATAAACACCACCATTTTAAAGAACCAGTAGGATAGAATGCATGAAAACATGAACTAAAAGATATATGACATTCATTCAATATATCTTCTCTTTGTTCAGTAAATTCCTGAGTTCCCTCTGGTTCTGTTAAAAAGACTTCAAATTTAGTGGTATTGATCTCTTCAGCTAGAATTCTCTTTAAAATATCTCTAGCATCACCTATTTTCTCTGCTAATTGACTTGTTTCAACAGACGTTTTCTTATTATTCACTGAAATAACATCCTAACATGATAAATACTCTATAGATTATATTTAAGATGATTTGACATCACAACAACTACCACATTTATTTTACTCATCCCTTATATGAATTTACAGTAATCATTGACAAAACAATATTGAGGCATGAAATACAATAAAAATCTTTTCTACTTTTCAGTACACAACCTAAACTAATGGACTCTCTTTGAGGCAACTAGTGGCATTATCTCCAATTATCATATCAACCAAACCACAGTAACTGATGTTTGGTAAAATGATCTGGCATTTGCCTAAGTTACTTAAGAGTTTAAAATGCTTGACTTTGAAGAGAATTTTGATATTTTAAGAGCAAGTGTTTATTTCAATAGTCCTGGCCTGATCAAAAAAGACAATTTGAAAAAAGAATATACCTCCATCAGAATAGATTTCATTGACATATATTTTGACTAATCTGAGACAGGCTCGGCAAATATAGACTAGTCTCTGAGTATCAGCTACTGCAGCCTGATAACTACTTCCTTTTAGATTCTCCATATCTTTTATAGCTGTATGAAACATGTTCCATGCCCAGTCTAAGAGTTTTAATAAGGAGTCAAAACATGTCTGGAAAGAAAATATATTAAAATGAACCTTTTTGCCTTTAGAAGCTGCATCATCTGTATCCAAGCAGCACATTACAAAACTGTCACAAGGAGGTCCATCAACAAAAAAACGATTTTGTGAAGATGTTTATGACTAGGACCAGCTGATAAACAGAGTAGTAAGAACACAAGGCTGTAACAATTTATTTTCCTATAAAAAGCTTTATAAGAAATGTACATCATTTCAGTAAACAAGACTTTACTTACAGCAGATACAGAATGTGAGAAATCTTGACTCAGTATATGTGCTGGTTCTATTAACTCTGTTCTACGCATTACACTAGGACTGTCTCGAGATGGCAATCTACAATCATAGTCAATATTTATTTCTTATACCCAAATCATAATAATGCCTAATATAATCTTTATGTGTTATTACAATCTACAAGGTTACAAATTCAGTGCAAGAAAGGGTTTAAATAATCAACATTAACAAATTTTTATAACAGCTTTTACTTTAATTACTAACAGATATAGACATAGTCAATTTGTACAAATTATGATCAGCATTGTGGTCTCTATTGTTTTCAAAACCCAATTTTGGTATTATCAAGACAATGATATGAGCATTTAAAAAAATATAAAGTTACTTGGATGGATCATATTCTAACCTATATAGTAATTGTGGAATTTGTCCAGCATTTACATCAGTACCATTATTAGACTTATTAGATCCTTTGAATTTAAACGTTACTCTACAATACAAAAAAAGTTATGAATATATCACATTCTTAATTTGAGATAGGAGGAGTGGAAACACAGTTAGTTTGAGCACTTCAAATTTCTTTAAAAATCTTTAGCATAATGGAAAAATAGTGCTTGTGGTTAAAGTCTTCGTCTTCAATCTATCATTGCCATGTCAGACTTAGACAAAGCTATACATGGTAAAAAATATATAACCAAAAGGAAGCTGAACTTACTGATCTTCTGTGGTGACCGAACTTTGTCCACTGGAACCACAATCACTGCTAGGACCTGATATTCTACACCATGCTACATACCAGATATTAGCTTGTAATAGTACAGGTTCATCAAATAATATCACATGCTTCTCTCTATAATGTAAACATTGGTTACATCCAACAAATGGTTGGCGTAGGCTCTAATCTCTGCCAGGGTGCAAAAGCCTCATTATTCTAGTCAATCCAGATGTGAATGGGAATGGACCACCCAGGAAAGATAAATACAAAATTGTTTTGTCAAGGTCCAGCTAAAAAAATGGATCCTAATGAATTAAATTATTATCCTTGTAAACAATTGCTTTTTCTTTCTTTTTTGTATTTAACAAATAATATTAAGTTTTTTTTACAATTTTGTCTATGCATTCAACCCAGAAAAAAATCAAATTTGAATAACAGATTCATCGTTATTTAATTTGGTTTCTCTTCATTTTTGTATTAAAGGTGTCTCTACCTTGGTCCACATTCAAAAGGTACTTCTTCAGTTTCTGCCAATTGTTCTCCATCCACTTCATTTTCTTTTTCACCACCATCAGCTCCCAGTTCAAATAGCTAAAATATTCAAGACATATACTGACAATTATGCCTGTATCACATACTTATAAAGGTATAAAACCTGTCAAATAATATAAATAGAAAGCTGAAAAATCTTTTGTACCTACCTTTATTCTACCAAAGTATTCACCACGTCCACCAAATAACCCATACCCTCCTAACAATATATCTGTATCAACCATAAACTTTATAGCTTCTATAGAGTGTCCGGAATAACCCCAACCTCCACCATGACCTAAGAAGACAAATAAATTACATCATGTCTACATTATTGATTTTCAGCTTATAAATTGGATATTTGCATGTTCATTTTCTCCCTGAGATTGCCAGGCAAGGTAATATACATCCACTGGCAGCTTTGTATTTAAATTAAATTGTTTGACAGTACAGTAACAATCACCAATATGAAATTTCAACGTTCAGCCATACACTTCTTTTGAACTTTTTGGGGTGATACTGAACAATATTACCAGATTTTTTTCAAAATCTGGAAAGAATCGAGCTGTTTACAAGCTTAAAATTGAAATTAATGTTTTCAAGAACAAGGGCAATAATTCATATTAAATATTTTTTGATTTTTCTAATTTTCTAAAGGGTTCATCCTAAGGTGATAACCTACACTCATGCTAAGTTTCATCAAAATCAGACAAGAATTGTACCTTTTGGAGTGTTCACCAACAATAGGTGACGCCAATATGTGCCCCCTCTATTTCATGTGGGCGTATAATATAAACAACAAACATAGCTTACTCTCAAATCTGTTCACAAGTGAAAAATCTTCTTTGGAATATATTTTCTTAGTGGTCTGTTTTTCTTTTGTTTCTTCTGAGACAGTGATATTTAATTGTCGCGCTATGGTTAAACAGTCTAGACATCCTAGGATAACAAAATAGTTATATTTAATTGTCTAACTATGGTTAAACTGTCTAGACATCCTAAGATAATAAAATAGTAATATTTGATTGTCTAACTATTGTTAAACTGTCTAGACATCCTAGGATAATAAAATAGAAATATTTAATTGTCTTACTATGGTTAAACTGTCTAGACATCCTAGGATAATAAAATATTAATATTCAATTGTCAAACTATTTTAAACTGTCTAGACATCCTAGGATAATAAAATAAAAATATTTAATTGTCTTACTATGGTTAAATTGTCTAGACATCCTTGGATAATAAAATAGTAATATGTAATTGTCTTACTATTGTAAAACTGTCTAGACATCCTAGGATAATAAAATAGAAATATTTGATTGTCTAACTATTGTTAAACTGTCTAGACATCCTAGGGTAATAAAATAGTAATATTTAATTGTCTTACTATGGTTAAACTGTCTAGACATCCTAGGATAATAAAATAGTAATATTTAATTGTCTAACTATTGTTAAACTGTCTAGACATCCTGGATAATAAAATAGTAATATTTAATCGTCTTCCTATGGTTAAATTGTCTAGACATCCTAGGATAATAAAACAGAAATATTTAATTATCTGACTATTGTTAAATTGTCTAGACAGCCTAGGATAATAGAATAGTAATATTTAATTGTCTAACTATGGTTAAACTGTCTAGACATCCTAGGATAATAAAATAGTAATATTTAATTGTCTTACTACTGTTAAACTGTCTAGACATCCTAGGATAATAAAATAGTAATATTTAATTGTCTAACTATTGTTAAACTGTCTAGACACCCTAGGATAATAAAATAGTAATATTTGATTGTCTAACTATGGTTAAACTGTCTAGACATCCTAGAATAATAAAATAGTAATATTCAATTGTCTAACTATGGTTAAATTGTCTAGACACCCTAGGATAAAAAAAAAACAGTAATATTTAATTGTCTAACTATTGTTAAACTGTCTAGACACCCTAGGATAATAAAATAGTAAGATTTAATTACCTTACTATGGTTAAACTGTCTAGACATCCAAGGATAATAAAACAGTAATATTTAATTGTCTAACTATTGTTAAACTGTCTAGACATCCTAGGATAATAAAATAGTAAGATTTAATTATCTTACTATGGTTAAACTGTCTAGACATCCAAGGATAATAAAACAGTAATATTTAATTGTCTAACTATTGTTAAACTGTCTAGACACCCTAGGATAATAAAATAATAACATTTAATTGTCTAACTATTGTTAAATTGTCTAGACATCCTAGGATAATAGAATAGTAATATTTAATTGTCTAACTATTGTTAAATTGTCTAGACATCCTAGGATAATAAAATAATAATATTTAATTGTCTAACTATTGTTAAACTGTCTAGACATCCTAGGATAATAAAATAGTAATATTTAATTGTCTAACTATTGTTAAATTGTCTAGACATCCTAGGATAGTAGAATAGTAACATTTAATTGTCTAACTATGGTTAAACTGTCTAGACATCCTAGGATAATAGAATAGTAATATTTAATTGTCTTACTATTGTTAAACTGTCTAGACATCCAAGGATAATAAAACAGTAATATTTAATTGTCTAACTATTGTTAAACTGTCTAGACATCCAAGGATAATAGAATAGTAATATTTAATTGTCTAACTATTGTTAAACTGTCTAGACATCCAAGGATAATAAAACAGTAATATTTAATTGTTTAACTATTGTTAAACTGTCTAGACATCCAAGGATAATAAAATAGTAAGATTTAATTATCTTACTATGGTTAAACTGTCTAGACATCCAAGGATAATCAAACAGTAATATTTAATTGTCTAACTATTGTTAAACTGTCTAGACATCCAAGGAAAATAAAACAGTAATATTTAATTGTCTAACTATTGTTAAACTGTCTAGACATCCTAGGATAATAAAATAGTAAGATTTAATTATCTTACTATGGTTAAACTGTCTAGACATCCAAGGATAATAAAACAGTAATATTTAATTGTCTAACTATTGTTAAACTGTCTAGACATCCTAGGATAATAAAATAGTAAGATTTAATTATCTTACTATGGTTAAACTGTCTAGACATCCAAGGATAATAAAACAGTAATATTTAATTGTCTAACTATTGTTAAACTGTCTAGACACCCTAGTATAATTAATGAAATATAAATATTCAATTGTCTCACTATGGTTAAACTGTCTAGACATCCTAGGATAATAACATAGTAATATTTAATTGTCTAACTATTGTTAAACTGTCTAGACATCCTAGGAAAATAAAATAAAAATATCTAATTGTCTTACTATGGTTAAATTGTCTAGATATCCTTAGATAATAAAATAATGTAGCCGGGCTAGTTCAGGGGGGAAGCGAGCTCAGTTGTTATATAAAAAACAATGTTCTCAGTTCATAACTTTAATAATAAAACCCTGTGAAGTTATTAGAAGACAATAACTGGTGATGAAAAAGAATAAAGAAGAAGTAGATATCCAGTATTTCAAGGAGGTTGAAATATACTTCCTTCTTCTTTAAAGACTTAAATAAAACAACCAAGTTTCTTTAAAAATACACTCTATCACAATAGTAATATTTAATTGTCTTACTATTGTTAAACTGTCTAGACATCCTAGGATAATAAAATAGTAATATTTAATTGTCTAACTATTGTTAAACTGTCTAGACATCCTAGGATAATAAAATAGTAATATTTAATTGTCTAACTATTGTTAAACTGTCTAGACATCCTAGGATAATAAAATAATAATATTTAATTGTCTAACTATTGTTAAACTGTCTAGACAGCCTAGGATAATAGAATAGTAATATTTAATTGTCTAACTATTGTTAAACTATCTAGACATCCTAGAATAATAAAATAGTAATATTTAATTGTCTAACTATTGTTAAACTGTCTAGACAGCCCAGGATAATAAAATAGTAATATTTAATTGTCTTACTATTGTTAAACTATCTAGACATCCTAGGATAATAAAATAGTAATATTTAATTGTCTAACTATTGTTAAATTGTCTAGACATCCTAGGATAATAAAATAGTAATATTTAATTGTCTAACTATGGTTAAACTGTCTAGACATCCTGGA